GTCATTTTCATTCTGCAAATAACACTTGCATATTCCCTTGCAAACATTTAACTCATTCAAATAATATCTAATCAAATCAATAGATTATAGAACAACTTAACACTTGGGTTACAAGTAAACCTATCACTGTAATTGTTTTTCTATTCTTCCCAAATTTTAGATAAGTATAACTGTGGTGTGTGCTACTTACACGAACGATATAAGTAGTATAAGAAGGGACGTGAAAGTAGAAGTCTCACGGTCAGAAGAAAAAAAACGGAAAGCAAATGGATCAAGAGCAAGAAGTAAATGGAGTACCAACCAACAGGAAGGAAAGGAAGCAACAACAGGAATGGAAGAAGAATGGAGCGTTGGAAGTCACGACTCAAAGATGGTGTGCAAATAGACTGTTCAATGTAATGTTGTCGTTTTTAATTGACTAAGAGTGTAAATTTGCATAATACAATCTTTAGCGCCTGCTTCAGTCTTTTCATAACTATTCTGTAACAGTACTGAAAATGATCTGCGATTTCTTTATTCATGGTCTTCGACCAGCCCTGACCCCCATTTAAAAATTAATGCTTCTCAACTATTATGAACTTACATTGTTATAATCCTTGTAATAAATAAATAAATTAACCGTATCACTTTAGTCAATTACAACCTCCTATTATCTCCTCAATTCTTTCTTATACACAGAATTTCGCTTCCCGAAACAATGACGTTGTCTGAAAATTAGTAGCTTTTCTATAATTATTTCCAGAATAGACTTTATTATTTTTTGAACAAAATGAATAACCAACCTCACAATCATTTAGTATAGCTTTCAGAATAATTCAAAGGAATAATATTGATTGATAAACTGTCAAATAAATAATAATAAAATCTATTTATGAATAACTCCACCAGTAGAACCTTCGGGGCTACTGCCGGTCCCAAGCCCGGGTAAAGGAGGAGGGTTGGCGACCCCATTTGCGTCAAAAACTAACTTGCCAAAAAAAACGCTATTTTTAAATAAATACATTTATTCAGTGCATGATTATTGTGTTTTGGTTTGGGTGGAAATAAAGTCTCCTTGTTGAAAGATGGATAAATGCAAATGCATTTTGTTCACATTTATATCTCCTAAGAGTTTATTCTTTTGGTATACTTACTATCATTGATTGTTAACTCATTTTAAAAAAATGTCGTAATGTTAATATTTTGAAACACTAACTATTGATTATCGTTTAGAAAAATAATGCACGTTCTACCAGTGTGTTGCAAACTACTTATAACTAGTATATGACGTGAGTGTCAACGTAATGTCTGCCAGCAGAAGATGGGGGAAGATCAAGAAAGGAAGAGTTAGAAGAATACAATGGAATTTGTATGAAACGCATGAATAGTGAGTGACAATCGATTGTTGATGTTTTGCAACAGGAACAGTCCAGTTCGATATGATGATGAACTGATATTTTGCAAATTAACGATTTACGATATGGTTTTCCAAATTCACTGAGTAACTCTGTAATTTTCGCCAAATACAATCCGGTTGCCCTCACCTGTGTTCACATTCACTACACTATTTGCCGTCATTATTTTTTTGTGCATCGTTAATCAATGCCTATATCTCCTCTAAACAACATGTTGCACGTACTTATATTTCATGTCTTGAACATTTCGCTATTCTTCACTGTCGATGATTACTTGGACTTCACTGTTCTTGCAGAGAGATTCTTGGTTGTATCATATGGTTATCTCATGTTTATTACTCCTCTTGCAGCTATTTCCGCTATCTTTGATACGTCTCACACATATTTTCATTTATCAGCTAAGCTGCTCTTCTTCAATTGGTTGTTGGCTTCAGTGTATTCGGCTTTCACTGATTGATTGCTGCCTTCCACTTTTGCCTTTCATGGATCTTATTCAGAGTATCCACATCATCACCGTTCCTGGTGATAGTGTTAATTATCACTGGGAACGTCATGACATGCTGAAGATATTATTGAGAGTTATCTTGAATTAATCAATAGCCCGAAGAATGGCCGTATAAAACTATCGTGATGTTGTTCTTCCAGTGCTGCTACTAGAGTTTCAGTTTCATGTTAACCACTACTAAATGAGGATCTGAAGTTACATCAGTTCATCTCCCTGAACTGGTTAGTAGCATTGAATGAAATCATAGATTTTTTTGAATAAAACAAAATTTTGCATCTTTCCAACGAAATTTCTCGATAAAACTCAAGCTACTTATTAGTAGAAAGTAACATGAAACCAAACGAAAAAAAATATTAGATACGATACATTGGTTGGTACTTAGTTTTCATCCTGCTACGAACAAAAAAATCATGATAAATCGGCTGCACGGCTCAACTGTAGGTTGCTTGAAATTATGAATAATTTTCGCTGTTGTTATCATTAATAGATCTTAGCCAAACTACTATTATTTAATTGTTGCTCCATTCAGGGAAACGACAACGAATAGTTCATACACAACCACCCCGACCCCAATCGATATCAGAACATCCGGTGTCACGTACGGATATTTAACCACTAAGCTGACACAATCCCTTACATGTCTTGACACGACTGAGAGTTCTCCTGCCTTCCGAAATGGCCTGATATATGCATCCGCCGACAGGGAAATACTACTCACTACTTTTGGTGGCATGGATGTTGTTTACGAAATTTAGAGAAGCTCATGTCTGAAGCTTTTAAGCGCGTTGGATGAAAACGAGGACCTACTCAAGGGGGTTATAAAAACGCTGATTTCAAACAAATGGTGTACATGGGCTTTAGGGGAAACGAGCCTATCGTTGGTCTCCAGCTACCGTTGGGCCGCGTATCCTAACTTTGCTCGAATATCCTGGTCAAAAGCACAGGGAGTTGCCTCCTAAGAAAATCACACGCTTCAGTTTAGGCATCCAGGTAGTATACCATCCTGCACAAAAATTCATCGATTTGGGTGGTGCATAAATACTTAGATGCTCTTTTGTACCAATGTTTAAACAAAGAATAATACATATTCAGTCCATGATATCGCATGACCATCTCCCATTGTCTTCGGTGGGTAATTGCCTAACACACAGATTATGTCCTCTAACTAGAACTCGGGACATTTCCTCTTGAGATTAGCCACCAGTGAGTACGTATTGAGTTGTGAAGAAATTTATATTCGATTCTCTGTTGTGGGGATCGTGGACTTGATAATTCGGGGAGTATTATATTGAGACAAAACGAATCTCTTCGCCTGTGGATGAGGTACAGACGAGTAAGTACGTTCTTAACAGATACAGGTATTGATGGAATAACGTTTCCGGATGTCCAACTAAAGATCATCTTCATTTTTCGAAACACGAAGATACGAGAATTGCGTTGATTGCTTGGTAATTTACTTGGCATATAGTTTATCTTAAATGCTTTGAATGAACAGTTTAGAAGCAACACAATCAATTCATGATTTAAAAGATAGAATGTAATTTCGACTGCTTCATTACCACATCCTAATATTTTCAACTAGTGAGTTGACCTCAATCTACCAGTCTTTATTTTCGAACAAAAGTAATATCCAACCAGACAATACGTTCACGGTTTGCTTTCATGCACTTAAAGTTACTTCCAACACACACTTGTATCCAATAAGATTATACTGCACAGTAATGGGTAAATAGGTATATGTGAGATCTATGCTATCTGAGCATAGTTGCAACAGACGGTCGCCATTGTCTGTTCTTTGAGCCGCGATACCATAACATCCACCTAGGTGTCTCTCTTGCTCACTTAGTCTACCTACTTGAGCTTTAAAGTCAACAGCCATTATTACTACATCAGAGCGCCCAACCTTTTGGAGGAGGTCCGAAAGCTTTCTGTAAAACATCGTCTGGAATGCAGTCAGTGGGGGCGTAGGAAGATATGACGAAGAGGCAACGGCAAGTGTACCTATCTTTACTAGTCCTTACTGTCCCGTTTAGTCGGACAGCGCACAAGCGACTATCTACTGGGATCTAGTCTAGAAGCGCTAGTTCTGCCCTACGACTCAACGCTATGCCTACGCCAGCAAGACCTCTGAAAGCAGCATCAGGGCTTCCAGATACACGAAGAGTAAATCGAGCTGCTTCTTTATTTTGACAAGGTGAAATCAGATTAATAATTTTACTAGGATCCTGTATGCGCGTTTCCGAGACAGAGCATATATCGATTGAGCGAGATTCTAAAGTTCTAGTTAACGATGCCTGTTGCCCTATTTGACATAATATACGTACATTAAAAGCTCCAACATGCAGACTAGAACGGGGTTTCAAGAGACCAGAAATGACGTTTCGTGAACTCGCATTGTTTGTATTAGCTGTGCAGTATGATAAAGGAATATGAGAAGAGTTAGTCGTGGAGGTAAGAGAGATATTCAGGGGTGTAGGAATGATTTGATTTTGACCAATTTGGGCTCGTGTGCAGTTGTTACGGGTATGAGGTCGGTTGTCACTTCCCGGCTGCCCACATCGTGGAAGGTTGTTTATTGGGGAGCCTGAAAAGGAAGGTATATTATCGTTGGTCTTAGAGACCTGTGAGCGTGACCACAGAGCCCAAGGGACAACTGATGGAGACCAGTCACACACGGCCTTTTTATGAAGGGCTTTTTGAGTATTAGCTCCGCTCTTGAAAGCCCTTAGTGGGCACCCTTACCGCCGGAGACAGAAATCCGTGAGATAAGGTAAGGTGTGATAATTTTACAGTCAACCTTATCTAACCCTTCCTTCCTTTTGGGAAGGCAGCATCGATGCAGATGCTGGTTGTCTGAGGGAAATGCCCTACTGTTATCACACTCTGTTGTCAGCAGTACGACTTCACCCTCAGACCTTGAGTAGCTGCTTCTAGTCTCATCGTTCTCCAATCGACCTGCCTGGCATGTTAAAACCTTCAGGAATATAAGTTCCAGCCAGTATAGCTCGGCTGCGTCATCACGATAGTCAAGCCCGACCACCACGTCAAGGTAGCAGCTACGGTCGGAACAAACGATTGGAAAAAAAAATGACATAGGAGATTTTCAACATTTACTAAGTCATCATCACTTCACATAACAATGATAACATATTGACAATGATAGTTGAGTAAACCATCAAACCATTAATGTTTGAGAGTACAATTATACATTGAGTCATTTGGTTTTGTACACACACACACACACACACATTCACGGCTTTGTGTAATGATCAAAAGAAAATTTATCCATCAAAAAAAACAAAAAATCCAATTTTTACTATCCAAAACACAATTTTCTTTCATTTTCTCGTTCAATCATAGATAAAGACATAAATTAATTAATTAATTAATCATAAAAAAATCATTATACACACACACATAACATTCATTGTCTTATTAAACAGAAGCATACAATGTGATTCCGTCTAAATCCATCAATCGACTAGCTGGTAAATGAACAAATGGTTTTAAATCGTTGATATTTTCAATATTTAAACTAGTATACAATTGTAAATTGATATTAGTCGACCAACCAAAAGCACATTTCACCTATAAATTTTTAAAAAAAAAACGAAACCATATATGACACAATATATAATTGTATTTGAAACCATCAATGTTAGACCATCGCATTAGAAACCCGGAAGCACTGAATGACGGCCGTTTTGTCCTGGTATGGGACTCATATCACAGCAGTGCGCATCCACGACTCTTGCACCTGGCAGGATTCGAACCCAGGACCTTCAGTATTGTAGGCGAACGCCTAGCTTCGTGAGGGATCTCCGAGTTCTAGTGGGAAGACGTGACTATTGAAGTTCAACCTGTTCGGGTGTAGACAATATAACTACCTCAGACTGTGTATGAGGTTGCGCAACTCAGTGAATTGATCAAGTTAGACATTAACACCGTTAGATACCGCCGGCTCAGTGGTCCGATTGTTAGGCGTTCAGGTCAGGTGCAGGAGTCGTTAATGCGCACCGCTGAGGAGTCCCATACCAGGATGAAACAGTCGTCCAGTGGTGGTTCCAGGTTTCTAATGCGGTGGTCTAACATTGATCAATTCATGGTTTCAAATAAAACTTGACAATCTTCACAACAACCCCGTAATACAATATATAATCGGCATAATTATAACATATCATCAAGTAAATATATGTAAACAATATATGCAACTCTACCTATTGACCTATTTACTTCTTTAAGATGAACATTGATGTGCTCAAGTGCACAATGAATGTACACAGACAGACAGACAGACAGACATAGGTGTCACCTCACATATCTATCGATATCGTAACATATTCATAACATCACCATCAAATCTGGTGCCTTATATAACACAACATAATCATGGTTCTCAATAAACTCCTAGCCAGATTATTAGGAATGCGCCGCACAATTGAACAAAATGTTAAATATTCAATATTGAAGAAACAGGTCATCAGGTTGTTCTATTTATAGCATAATCACACGCACACACACACACATATAAGAGCACAGACAATGTATGCTTAGTTCAGTATTTTAAAACGAAAACCAAAACATCCAGCTCAGAGAACGAAACACCATCACGATCATCCACACGAGATACAAAGTTTCTCCACTACCCCCACTGGAGCATAGACTACCGACCAGGGTTCTGCTACCTACTCTGTTCTGGGTGTACAATCTGTCTATATAGTAACACACACATGTACATTACCATCAAATTTGGTGCATTTTTCACAACATAATTATGGTTCTGATTATAAGGAATGCGCGCTACACGATTGGAAAAAATGTTAAATATTCAATATTGAAGAAACAGGTCATCGGGTTGTTCTATTTATAGCATAATCACACGCACATATATATATATATATATATATATATATATATATATATATATATATATATATATATATATATACAGACAATGTATGCTTAATTCAGTATTTTTAAAAAAATACTCACTTTATTCTAGAACACTGTTCATATAAACTTTACGCTAATATAATATAAGGTGTATTTTACTGTTTGACAAAAGATGAGAAATATCAGGATTATTGATTACTACTTTCGAAAGACGTCTTCTAATGTTGGAAAAAATTTATTGAGTTTTACAAATGTTAAAGAATTACCGCTACGGTCAATCAGTCAGTCAACAACAACATAGACCTTGGTACAAACGTACATCAGTTCAAGTTGTCATACCACATTAGCATAGAGAAGCAATTGTCCAGTCAAATCCCATTGTAGTAGAGGTAGTAAAAGTATTAGAAGTAATTGGAGAGGTTAGGACTAGAAGATATTATTCAAGAAGTAGAATCTAGTTAAGTAAACTTAAAAAAATAAAGGTGAAGAGGAATAAAGGTTAGAAAGAATGAATGCACCTGCACCATCGCAAATGGTTTTGAACCATGACAATCAAAATCACTAACTATCGGTGACTTTTGTCTCGCGAACACCAACCAAGTAGTCGATATCTACCAACATGACTAAGTCCACTTGTCAGTGACTTCATGGATTTCTGCCATGTTTTGGTCTGGACGCTCCTAACTTTTTTCCAACATCCTTCTACATCACAAAACATAGCTCATCGAGGCAGTCAGTGGTTAGACATACGTAACACATGTCCCAACCACCTCACGCGCTTTCAACACGCTCAACTGCTTCCCTCTGTATCACTAGTTTAGGTTCCGATACAAGCTAATCCTGAAGCAACAGCTACGAAGTTGAAATGAATAAAAATGAATCCTAGTAAAATGTAATAATTGGTGATTTTCATAAACTGACTATTCTTCTACAAAAATCATAATGCTGAGAAATAATAAACAACAATAATTTCAGACAACAATGTATAAAGGATAAAATTTAAGCCACTAATGAAGAGAAGTGTGAGAGTGAGTCACACAAAACATCGATTGGTCAAATTGACATGTTGAATCAACAGGGGAATTGGTTGAAAGTCGAAAACACCTTACCCATTGATACACTCCTTCCTATAGTAGTTCGCTCCGTCCTACTATATGGCTGTGAAACATGGCCAATGAGAGTAGAATATATTCGTCGGTTACTGGTTTTCGATCATAGGTGTCTTCGAAGCATTGCTCGTATATCGTGGGACAACCGAATAAACAATGCTGTTATTAGGAAATAGATGCTAGGTAAGGATGGCAGTTCAATGGATGAAATAATGAAACTTCATCAGTTGAGGTGGTTAGGACATGTGTTACGTATGTCTAACCAATGACTGCCTCGACTAGCTATGTTTTGCAGTGTAGGAGTAGGTTGGAAGAAAGTTGGGGGTGGCCAGACCAAAACATGGCACAAATCCATGAAGTCATTGACGAATGGACTTAGCCATGTTGGTAGATGTAGGTTACTTGGTTGGGGTCCTCGAAATGATAATAATCGATGGTTAGAGACCTTGAATGACATGGCTCACAATTGTTCGCAACGTCGCTGGTGCATTTATTGTTTGTGTTCTCTCAAATCCTAATCTTCTGGATTCTTCACCCCCCCTATAGTTTTGACTTTCTAAACTTTTCTCATTGAATCATACTTCTTGAATAATATCTTCTAATCCTAACCTTTCCGATTACTCCTAATACCTTTACTACCTCTTCTACTTTTGGATGTGAATTGACAATTACATCTCTGTACTGATAAGGTATGGCAACATGAACTGATGTACTTACGTACAAAGTTCTACGTTGCAACTGACTGACTAACTGACACTGCTTCCTATAATAATCATAATAAGTGATTAAAATATCTGGGCAAGCTAATATATATACACAGGAAATTTACAAACTTCACAAGTATGTTGTTCACAAGGTCATTTTATGACCAGATGTGAGAAATTATATGTATGTGAGATAATACTATTTAAAAATTGCCAAACATATAACCTAAAATCAGAATTCACCATCAAAAAAGTGTTTGATGTGAACAAATCTCGTTTAATGATATACGGAAACAGATTATATTATACAAAGCACCTGTTACGTAATCATAATTGGGATTTTAAATAATTCAACACAATAACAACACTAATTGAATTACCTTTCGTAATAAATCATCAACATTGTGTACAAACCATTGATTATTTGAATCACATAATTGTACTTTAATGGTTTGTGAATGATTTGTGTAATTTACAATAGTAACAAACATTGGACGATTTTTCATATCGACACTTTTTAAATTAATATTAATTTTAATAGGATTATTATTCATTGTATCAATTTGTTTTCTTGAAAATATAATCAAATCAATATTATCCGGGGGTATCTGAAATGATTTCATAAAAAGTAAATATATATATATATATGTATGCACACACATGTGTGTGTGGAACAGCAATAAAACAAAAACTATTATGAAGAGATAACAGTTAGTAGCACACAAACACATACATACTATTGAGCGAAAGTTGGACCGAAGGTCCAGGGTTCGAATTGTGCGACGGGGCAGGAGTCGTGGATGTGCACAGCTGATGAACAGTCCCATACGAGGATGAAACAGCCGTCCAGTGATTCCAGGTTTCTAATGGTTGTCTAACAATTGATCGATTTATGATTTCAGAAAGTTAGATAATCCTCCAAAGAGGTGAATACAACACAGGGGGAATATTTCAGTCAATTACACTGTAACTTGTACATCCCCACCTGTCTCGATGAATTGTATATATGTACAACGGTGTTATTAGGTATAAATCCCGACCGTAGTTGCTAAATTGACGTGGTGGTCGGGTTTGCCTATCGAGATGATACAACCCAGACATATTGGCTGGAACACATGTTCCTGAAGGTTCTACCATGCCAGGAAGGTCGATTGGAGAACTGAGACTGAAAACAGCTACGCAAGGTCTGAAATTGAAGTGCTACTGCTGACTGTACAGAACTGTGACAGCAGTAAGGTGTTTCCCTCGGACAAATAGCATCTGCAGCGATGCTGCCTTCACACAAGGAAGGAAGGAGTTAGGAAAGGCCGACCCTAAAAATGTCACACCTCACACTACCTGACGGACTTCTGTATACGGCGGTATGGTCTATTAAGCAAGAACGGTGTTAACAATTAACAAACTTATCATAAAAAGGCCGTATTGTAGTGAACGAGAACACAGGTGGGGCAACCGAATTGTATTTAACGAAAATTACAGAGTTACTCAGTAAAATTGGAAAACCATATCGTGAATCGTTAATTTGCAAAATATCAGTTCATCATCATATCGAACTGGACTGTTCCTGTTGCAAAACATCAATCCATTGTCACTCACTATTCATGCGTTTCATACAAATTCCATTGTGTTCTAACTCTTTCTTTCTTGATCTTCCCCCATCTTCTGCTGCCAGACATTACGTTGACGCTCACGTAATATACTACTTATAAGTAGCTCACACCACAGTATGTGACCGGCCTCAAGCAGTTGTCCCTTGGGCTCTGCGGTCACGCTCCCAGGTATCCAAGACCAACACTAATCTACCTTCCTTTTCAGGTTCTTCAAGAAGTACCGTAATCTCTCTGATTACTGCTAATACTTCTACTACCTCTACTACTATGGGATTTGAATTAACAATTGCATCTCTGTGCTAATGTGGTGTGGCAACCTGAACTGATGTACGTACGTACGTAAGTTCTACGTTGTAACTGACTGACTGACTAGGATTAGATTCAAGCATAAATTATGTGTAACCATCATCATCAACAACAACAACAACAACGATATTAGTTATACTCGTTTTGATTAATCAAACCAATAAACTAACTGATTTGAAGATTATAAATTAGACGGTAATTAACACGAATCACTTTTAAGCAACGTAGTTACTCATAGACAAAATAGTGCAGCAGATTGCCGTCGCCCAGAATCTATTGCTGAAGCGAAAAGTGTCGGATCCGGATGTATGGCACGACCAGTGTTGTGAACAATAGAAGATATGTGAAACCCAGATAGCGCATAAATCTGCTTGTTTTGTAAATGGATATCACAGGATAAGGTATTACACATTCGGCTAAGTCAACTGTGTCTTCCTCAAATAAATCACTTATTTTATCTTGTTTTAATGTCTTCGTTCAGTAAAGTAGTATAAAATATTAAACATTGACAGTACAAATGACTTTATAGAATAACGGAAAAAAAACTAAACTAATAATTTTGAAAACTACAATCCTCAAGTTACACAAAGAATGTATGTCGGTGAGTTATTGTGATCAATTCTGAGCTACAGCACATATATCTCCAACTATTAGTTTTATTAAATCATGTAAATTATAAACAGGTAGTAGTTTTTATCTGTCAATATAGAACCTTAGTTATTGTGGCAGAGAACAAACCAGATTCCAGGCGGAGGAAGAAATTCGAGAAAAGTGCTGGTGGGGGTGAATAGGACACACACTGAAGAAAGTATACAACTGCGTCACATGACAAGCCCCTACTTGGGATCCTCAAGAATAATGGTGTGGAGATAGGTATGACAAACTTATTTTGTATTTATTCTGTTAATTTTTCACTACTTGTACATTTACTATAAAATGATTGTACATGTTGTTTAAGTGTGAACCTTGAAAAAAACGGATAGCGTTGACTACTCACACCTTTTTTCCGTTCTGCTGTACACATAGCACGACATACGCTGACTTCTCCCAACAAATACACTTTATACACATATTCCATGTTCTCTATTGCTCATTAATGTATTATCTGGATTCTAATGCATATATTATCTACATTTATAGACTACAGTTATATTCATATCCTATTCTACGACGGAATATATCACTGGGATTACTAATCTCCTATAATTGTGGATTTTTGGTACCAAACGCAACCGAACACCTACAAGCAGCCGCATTAAGTAACGTCCATACATTTTTATTGTGTTCATAACATTTAACTGATATATTTCGCTATACATCTGATTGTATTTAATAACTTTGTTACTATTTTGAAATAATATATCGTTTGGTCCACCACAATGGAAGAGGGAGATCAAAGAACACACTATGCCGAGAATTGGAAGCAGACATGAAAAGAATGAACAGAAATCGGGTGGAACTGAGAAGGAAGGCCCAGGACAGAGATGGTTAGAGAACGCTGGTTGGCGGCCTTCGCTCCAGGAGGAGTAACAAGCGTGAGTCAGTAAGTAATATACCTAAGCACAACAATTAATAACTTCGTATAATTTCTAAATATTACATTTAGAGTTAGAAGTGGGTTAGAAGTTAAATATCCAAAACACGCCTTTCGTCTTATTCGAGACTTATTATTTGAATGTACTTGCACACTTGTGTAGATGTTCACACCGGAAGCCAAAATCTGATATCTTTCGTTTCTAACATCGATTGTGTTATCCTAAATAAAGTACTCAGTTTAGACAGTCACTGAATTGCACGCACAACAGGTTATTTGGATCGTTTTTTTGTGAATTCCACACTGCTAGTCAACAGCATACATACAACCCTACTTAAAACTTACGATGGATGCATCATACTTACTTACGCCTGTTACCCCCAATCGAGCATAGGCCGCCCACAAGTTTTCTCCAACCAACTCTGTCCTGGGCTTCCCTCTCCAGTTCTGTCCAATGTTTGTTCATTCCTCTCATATCTTTCTCTATTTCTCGGCGTAATGTATTCTTTGGCCTTCCTCTATTCCTTTTGCCTTGAGGGTTCCATGTGAGGGCTTGTCTCGTGACGCAGTTAGGTGCTTTTCGTAGTGTGTATCCTATCCACTTCCACCGCTTCTTCCTGATTTCCTCCTCCACTGCAATCTGGTTTGTTCTCTCCCACAGTTCGTTGTTGCTGATGGTGTCTGGCCAACGAATCCGAAGTATTTTGCGTGGACAACTGTTAATAAACACTTGTATCTTCTGGATGATGCCTTTCGTAGTTCTCCAAGTTTCCGCTCCATACAGTAGAACTGTCTTGACATTTGTATTGAAAATGCTGATTTTGGTTTTGGTTGAAAGTTGTTTGGAGTTCCAGATATTTTTCAACTGTAGAAATGCAGCACTTCCTTTGCCAATCCGTGCTCTCACATCTGCATCGGATGCATCATATACACTCACAAAAAGACTGATCAATTGCAAAAAGGGCAAATTCAATCAATCAATACAAATGAAAATTGATGCATGCATGCACTTCCTGTTCATGTAAAAAAAGAAAAAAAAAACTGTCAGAGAAAAAAAAAGATTCGGGCTTTTTCTCCGACGATATTTTACAAAAGGCATATCAAGAATTATTATTCATTACTTACTGTCACTGTATCACGTAATATTTCTTTGGTTAATTCCCAACCATTAGGTAGAATCGATTTAGCACATTGTATAATAATATCACTGTGATTCACAGCATTAATTATTGATGATTGTTTTATTACAGTGAAAGGTTGTTTAATAGTTGTTTGAATAAAATTTAAATAGTTTCCTTTTGGTCCACCAATATTATAATATGAATCTAAATCAGTAATAGCTAAAATAACAATTGGATCTTCAGGAATTAATTCAGCCTATTGGGGAGAGAAGAAAAAAAACAATTTTGAAAAAAAGCACTAATTAGTGAAGTACAATTTGATGTATTTAGGACAAATTCAAAACGAAAAAAATAGATGAAGTTGAGAATGATGATAACCTTTGGATATAACAACTGGTTTTTATTGATTTTAAGACAACAAGATACTTGTTTTCCAAGAAAAAGAAGAACAACAGATTACTGACTTCAATGATGAGCTATTGTATTGACATGGCGATATAAATCGAATAGGTACTTTCAACACATAATCTCAGTAAAAATTAGTGATAATGAGAGATGACATCAATGATATAGGTAAGAGAGGTGGTATTAGGGGGTGTAGGAAGGATTTGATTTTGACCAATTTGGTCTCGTGTGCAGTTGTTACGGGTATGAGGGCGGTTGTCAATTCCCGGCTGCACACACTGTGGAAGGTTGTTTCTTGAGGAACCTGAAAAGGAAGATAGATTAGTGTTGGTCTTAGAGACCTGGGTGCGTGATCGCAGGGCCCAAGGGACAACTGCTTCAGGCCGTCATGCACGGCCCTTTATGAGAAGTTTTTTGAGTATGAGCTCCGCTCTTGAATGCCCTTATTGGGCACCCTTACCGCCAGAGATGGAAATCCGTGAGGTAGGGTGAGGTGTGACATTTTTAGGGTCGACCTTTTCTAACCCTTCCTTCCCTGTGAGAAGATAGCATCGCTGCAGATGCTGGTTGTCCGAGGGAAACACCTTACTGCTGTCACAGCTCTGTACAGTCAGCAGTACGACTTCGCCATCAGACCTTGAGTAGCTGCTTTCAGTCTCATCGTTCTCCAATCGAACCTTCAGGGACATATGTTCCAGCCAATATGTCTCGGTTGGATCATCACGATAGGCAAGCCCGACTACCACGTCAAGGTAGCAGCTTCGGTCGGGACATCAATGATAGTAATATAGCCTATATGATTGGTTGGTTAATAATGTATCGAAACGCTTATGAATGATAAACGATAAAATGCCTGCTGAAGTAATATGATTCATTAGTTCACACTGAACAATATCACAATCTCAGATCGCTGTCATTGTCTTCTTATTCCAGCATAGATTGATTTCCTCTCATGTATTGACAACACTGTTGTATGATTATGAAAACTGGAGGTGACAATGACATAACAATAAATAACAATAGTATGCACCATTTTCCTATAAAAACTGTGTAACCTAGGTGAAAAACTTGAAAAAGCAAATACTTTTAGTGCAATTCTGATCAGTATGGTTCAATACATAGTAGTTATACATTAAAGAAATGTGGAATGTTCTTTTTAAAAATCAATTACCAATGGTACGAGTGTGAATAAACTGGCATCAACTTTACCCGGGAAATTTAGAGTTCACAAAACGGACGTTTTTGGTTGATATCTGCTAACTTTTGAAGATATATTACACTGAGCAATAGCAGAACTGATGTATTCAAACTGAATAATGATTTCTGCTTACTGAATGAAAAAATTATTTGGATACTATAACTGAATCCAAATCGACGCTTATTTCGACTTCGGAAGTTGATCATTAACATGTTACGATCATACTTGTTGGCTACAACAAAGTGATACAACTAAATCAGGCAATCGAAAGTTATCAAATAAGGAAACAGAGAGGAAGATAACAAGTTACTATCCAATATATATTGAACAACAATAACTCAACACGACTCACCTTTTTACGTGTTCGTTGTATACGATTAACAAGTTCTCTAGCTAAACGTTCATTTTCTAATTCAATATCTGGTGTTGTATCCAATAATACTAGTAAACCTTTAGTATCTGAAGCTGTTTCATATTTGCTTGAATCTGTTTGATGATTACTATTCACTGAAGATGCGGATTGTTCAGATTGACGTTTTGATTTCGATGTAGAAGACTTTGTATCATCAGTACCACTGTTACTACTACTAGTACTACCAGTTGAATATACTACTGACAAGTCATCACCGGATAATTCATGTCCACAAACAACTAAGCAACCAGTCTATAATGTTAAGAAATCAACAGAAAGAAAGGGAGGAGGAGAACAAAACAGGTTATAATTGACAATAACAATTTTGAAATAAAATCTATTTCATGAAAAATATGAGTATATGCTTAAAGGGATTATGTGAAAATTAGTCAGTTACAACGTAGAACTTCGTACGTATGTGTACATAAGTTCATGTTGCTGATACACCACATTAGCACAGAGACGCAAATGTCAAATCAAATCACATAGTGATAAAGATAGTAGAGGAGGTATTAATGGTAATGAAGAAGACTAGGATTTGAAGATACTATTCAAGAAGTATAATCAAGTGAGATAAGGTTAGAAAGACAAGGGTAGAGGTGCTGATGAATCCAGAAGATTAGGATTTGAGAGAGCTCAAAGAGTGGATGCACTTGCGTCATTGCAAACGATTTTGAGCCATGTCGTTCAAGGTCTCTAACCAACGGTGACTATTGACTCGCGGACCCCAACCACGTAGTCTACATCTACCAATATGACTCAGTCCACTTGTTAGTGACTTCATGTACAATTAGAAAAAAAGCAAGCAATTCAATGAACGTGACATCAGCAGTGTATAAAGTTTTTGATTGTTGAACATGGGAAAAGTGTAATGCTAGAGAGATTGACTATTTGATTAAGGTCAGAGTTTGATAAGCAAAAACATCAGTTTAATACATGTTGAATGAAATGCACTGAAATGTAACAGGTTTTTCTTTTACTATAGATCTTAAACTTCAATAGTTCTTCGTACTTATATATTTCTATATTGTCTTTACACAAAAGCATAGTTTCAATGCTTAGCTTTCTACAATAATATTGTGTTAGTGGGTACACAGATTGGATTAAAGCATGATTGTGTTTTTGCACGCTGATTGGCTGTTTCGTCTCCCTTCTAACCTTGCTATTGGAATATTATAATCTCTATTTCCTGTTCAACCGTGTTCTGATTTCGGGAGAGTGAGTCTCGAGTGAGCGGGTGACCAAGAATACTAAGCATTAAGGAATAGCTAGCTGGGTTGTAATAAAGAGAGAGAATGATAACACATTTATTATTAACAGAAAGATTAATTCGACATTTTTTTTCAACTCATTTCCACTTATCTCAATTTTTTTGTTGTGATAAAGTGATATGATAAGACATAATATATGTTTTTTTTCCAAAGAACTATGTTAATTATAACTAATTGACATAATTGTACATACAATAGATTAGAGGTAAAGTGTTCGCGTTCAAGACCGAAGGTCCTGGGTTCTAGTCCCATGAGTCTCCCGTCCATTGCTTTCAGGTTTTTAACGGTAGTCAAACATTCATTGATTTAGGATTTCACAAGAAAAGCATAAACATATACAGAAGTTCAACCTGTTCGGGTGTAGACAGTAACTACCGAAGACTGTGTATGAGGTTGCGCAACTCTGTGAATTTGATCAAGTTAGACATTAACACCGTTGGATACCGGCTCAGTGGTCTAACGGTTAGGGCGTTCGCGCACAATACCGAAGGTCCCGGGTTCGAATCCTGCAGGGTTCAGGAGTCATGGATTCGCACTGCCACCAATGAGTCCCATACCAGAACGAAACGGCCGTCCAGTGCTTCTTCCAGGTTTCTAATGGTGGTCTAACATTGATCGATTCATGGTTTCAAAAAAAATGTGTAACTTAACAATCTTCACAACCCCGTAACGCATATACATAAAACGCAATTTTTTAATGTCACTGTTTTTGTTGTATATTAGTCCGCTGGTATGTTGGTTTATTTTAAACGCACGTTGACATTAACTTGCATTATGACAGTATTACTAATATTGTTTTTGTTTCCAGCTATATTTATTTAATATGAAGTTCATTCTATATTGATTTGACAATTGATTCGAAAGTTATAAATCAAAATGATACATTTATTTTTAACATTCTATACATTTTCATGCACTTATTTAATTCAAGCATTTATATAGAACAAACCATTTGAAATTGTTAGTGTATTAATAAGGACTGTAATTAATTGGTTTATGTTTGAGGCATAAGAATTGTCTTGAATATTTTGTTATTTAGTTCATAATTTTAAGAAAAATTAAACAGTGGTTAGTAAATGTGATGTATTCGAGTAATGCATCAAAACCAGTACATACAAACTCTGAAAAGCAATCCACGTACGAAGTGGGATGTTGCGTGTTTGCTCGTGACTACAGAACAAACCATGGTCCATAGACAGAAGCGCGTGCGGTTAGAAGAGTGGGCCGTGTAATGTACGAAGAGAAAGATGAACAAGCTATCGGAATCAGATACGCGAACGGCTAGCCCAAATATCGGCCATCAAGAGAATTAAATCTTCCGCTCGATTTGCTGTTAGATACCTTTAACTTACCGGCAGCCTCATCACGAAAAAAAGCTCGACAACAACAAGGCGACCTCTCAGACAGCGGCGAACAACAAACAAGATGCAAGTCGCCCCGAAACATACACTATTAAGAAGGGGAGGTATGTTGGGGAGGTTAGATCCCCAGAACTCAAATGAAATTTTTTTGAGACTGAATTTTATGTTTTCGCACCGAAGATCTTTACCTTGCATTTCCTTGACTGTCATTGGTGGATGGATTATTTTTGTAAGCTATTTTTGTGGCTCTTTCCAAAAGCATTTATCATAGCATAAACAAGCTTGGGTTGTGTGCTTATGGACCTCGTACTTTCCTACGTCTTATCAAGACTTTTTCCTCTAGTTATTGGGGCCCGGAAAGATCGGATTAGAGTAGCCAGTCGTGTCACTGAATCATTGATCTTCATTTCGTTTACCGAATAAGCTGAACTCGTACTAGTTTAAGCATATCAAAATGATACTTGGTTCAATTTTCCCTATGAATAATAACACTAGGATACAGGTATATAATGCTAACGTGTCCCAAATAAAATGGAGTACACCTCTTGGTTTTAACTAGTAACCAATATATAAACAGAAATCATACGTATGAGAGCTTACATTGGTCATGGCTGATCGATCACCACTAACACTGTAGTGAACGAGAACACAGGTGGGGCAACCGAATTGTTACTCAGTAAAATAGGAAAACCATATCGTAAATCGTTCATTTGCAAAATATCAGTTCATCATATCGAACTGGACTGTTCCTGTTGAAAAACATCAATCCATTGTCACTATTCATGCGTTTCATTGTGTTCCCACTCTTCCTTTCTTGACCTTCCCCCATCTTCTGCTGCCAGACATTATGTTGACACTCACGCCACATACTACTTATAAGTAGCTCACACCACAATACCACCACTGATAACTGATAAAACTAATTTTTTTTTAAAAAACCATATACAAATTGAATACATACATACTACTTATATATTAAAAAAAAACTTACATTAACAAATTTTTCCAATTCTTCAGTTGACAAATCTTTCACTTTGTTCACAACAGATTTATAATCATTTTTAAGTCGTGCACCCAGTGTTTTATGATTTAATATACCACGAAGTTGAACACCATAACGATGCTTATCACTAGTTGTAGTGAGAACACGAACATTCAACTCCTAACATAAATAATAAATAACAAAAGTTAAAAGACTTATACTTCAGAAGATCGAAGTATGGACAATTTTATTGATACAACCAGTTCATAAAACTGTTTATATAACTAATCATCGATATTTAAAACTAAATGTATTAATCAATCACTATTAGCGAGACGAAAGTCAACAATGGTTAGAGAACTTGAATGACATGGCTCAGAATCGTTTGCAATGGCGCAGGTGCATGCACTCTTTGTGTTCTCCCTAATTCTAACCTTCTGAATTTCTCATAATCTCTATCTTTCTCTTTCTAAATTTATCTCACTGAATTATACTTCTCGAATCATATCTTCGCTCCTTAATCTTCTCCATTGCTGCTAATAATTCTACTATCGTTATCACTATTGGATTTGAACTGACAGTTACGTCTCTGTGCTGACGTGGTATGGCAACCTGAACTGATGTACTTATGTACGAAGTTCTGCGTTGTATCTGTCTGTCTATCTGTTAGCTTAAATGAATGATGTAACAATTATGTTACAGATCAGAGAGTATTTGAATGATAGTTACCATTAGAATCAATACACATTGTCATTGGAAGAAGTGAGTAAACTAAAAATTCTACTTTCTATGTAAATATCAGTAAGTACACAATGACGAGATATCCGTTCGCTGACCAAATGACAGGTGTACTGCGCAGCAGTTCGTTCCGTTCTCCTATATGGCTATGAAACATGGCCGTTAAGAGTAGAAGAAGTTCGTAGGTTACTAGTATTCGATCTTAGATGTTTAAGAAGCATTGCTCGTATATCGTGGGACAGCCGAGTAAGCAATGCTGTCGTTAGGAAACGAGTACTAGGTAAGGATGGCAGATCAATAGATGAAGTATTGAAACTTCATCAGTTGAGGTGGTTGTGACATGTGTTGCGTATGCCCAACCACCGACTGCCTCGACGAGCTTTGTTTTGCAGTGTAGGAATAGGTTGGAAGAAAGCTAGGGGCGACCAGACCAAAACATGGCAGAAATCCATGAAGTTACTGACAAGTGGACTGAGACATGTTGAAAAATGTAGACTACCTGGTTGGCGTCCGCAAGACGAAAGTCACCAATGGTTAGAGACCTTGAACGACATGGCTCAAAATCGTTTGCAATGGCGCAAGTGCATCCATTCTTTGAGCTCTCTCAAATCCTAATCTTCTGGATTCGTCAGCACATCTACCTTCGTCTTTCTAACCTTATCTCACTGAGTTATACTTCTTGAATAATATCTTCAAACCCTAGTCTTCCTCATTACCATTAATACCTCCTCTACTATCTTTATCACTATGGGATTTGACTTGACATTTGGGTCTCTGTGTTAATAATGTGGTGTGGCAACATGAACTGATGTACATACGTACGAAGTTCTTACGTTTTAACTGACTGACTGACTGAAGTACACAATGATGACACGTCCAAAACACAAGATACGCATACTGAGACTGAACTACAGTGAATGATAAGCATAATACAAATATAGAAGGGGTGGGGTGAGGGAAATGCACTATTTCACTTCTCATTAACGTCAAGTTAAGACATGAAGAAAAATACAAACATTCTTTGCAACATAGATAATTATTACAAGGTAATTAAAAAGAGGTACCTAGTTATGGAGAACAAGAAAGCAAAACCAGTCAAGATGTTGGATCATTTTATACTGTGGATTTTTAATGATAAGTAAAAATCAATAAAGACTTGTTCCATTTTCATTCGTTCAAAGTTAGCTAACATATTGCTCAATCAGTAAGTTACAACGTAAAACTTCGTACGTACGTACATAAGTCCACGTTGCAATACAAGATTTGCACGGAGACGCAACTGTCAGTTGGAATTCCATAGTGGTAGAGGTAGCAGAAGTATTAGCAGTAATGGAGAAGATTAGGGTTCAAAGATATTACTCAACAAGTATAATCTAATGAAATGAATTTAGAAAGACAAAGGTAGAGGTGACGACGGATTCAGAAGTCTAGGATTTCAAAAAACACAACGAGTAGATGCACGATCATGAGCCACGTCGTTCAAGGTCTCTAACAACTGGTGACTTTCGTCTCACGTGCCATGTTTTGGTTTGTCCGCCCATAGCTTTCTTCCAACATACTCCTACACCACAATATATTGCTCGTCGAGGGAGCCGGTGTTTGGGCATTCGTAACACATGTCCCAACCACCTCAACTGATGAAGCTTCAATACTTCATCTGTGGACTTGCCATCCTTACCTAGCACTCGTCTCCTAACGACAGCATTGTATACTCAATTGTTCCACGATACACGAGTAATGCTTCGAAGACATATATAATCAAATACTAGTACTGGCCATGTTTCACAGCCATAAAGTAGGACTGATCGAAATGCTGCACAGTAAACCTGTTCCCCAAAGGACGGGTTTACCGTAACGAGGCGGCTAACGGATATAACCTGAAACAATGAAAATCTCCTCTTTTTTGTTAAGAAAATCAAAATTTCGATGAAATGTTTATCAAAGCCTTACTTACTTCAATAATATATGTTTGTGCAGCTTGAACACTTTTTAAAATATTCGAATCAGAATGAATTACAATCGCTTCACGCAATGGTGCTTTCAATGGAAGATTACAACGAGTGCGTATTATACGACCTAATTCTACAGTAGATTGCATCCAATAGACAATATCTTCTATTTCACGTGAGATTAATTCTAATTTTGGTTCAGGAGCTTGTATGTAATGAATAGAATCAGGAGCACCAGTTTCTGGTGAGAAACCAGGCAGAAGAGGACTTTGATCTGTGGCAGAAAGAAAGAAAACAAAATTTAAAAATTTCCACTTGTTTTAATTATTCAAGATAATCATGTTGCAAGTGATAAATGAAGTCGTCAAAGATAAAGGATTCATGTTTAATTAGATGAGTCTAGGCATATCTGTTAGGATATTCACCAAATATCCTAACAGTACGATTTTTGGAGGTATAATCCTATTGGTCGAAATTATGGTCGTCTTAACTGTCAAAGTCAAATACTTCAATGTTGTCTCTTATTGGTCCACAGGACTGTCAATGTCATTTCAAATGTTCTTTCCTATTGGCCGTCCTAAACTGTCAATGTCACAGACTTTGATGCTCTTTCCTATTCGACCTTAATGTAAAAATACGCACTATCTGTAAGCCTTCATTATTGAGATTCCAATTCCGTTTCTCCTGCCTACCTCTCTTCTGTATTCGACCCAATAAACAACTCCATCCCACGGTGTTGCGTTCTGATATCTAGGAGATTTGGAAATAGCATTTTGAGTCGTATTGGGATATTTGAATTGGACGCCGCTACGTAGCAGCGTTACAACAATATCAACTGTCAGTGCTCAGCAGATAGTGGATCTCAAAGTGAAATGACGACTGAGAAAATAGACATTCTTTCCGTAATCGCTTTTGATTGCTTTATATGATAACCTAACTCACTGTTACACTTTGTTAAGAGCTGATGAGAAGCCGCGAAATACAAAGCAATACAATATTAAACTGTCTCAATTGTCGCTTTTGCTTATCGAGCAATTAACTAAGAGTGACAAAATCGAATTTTATCATTATGTTCAGCTTAATTTGAAGAAACAGAATAGCATTTTGTAGGGTCTGTAAGCTAAATAGATTCACTTGTACTTAGATGTTATATTACACTATGTGGATTGACAACATATTTTTAACAGATATATAGAATTCTTGACGACTGACTGATTTGAAATTAGTCATTTTACTGTGAAATGATAAATACAGAACGAAAAATAACAAACAATACACATGTATTCCGTGATAGTTTAACATTGCTCAGTGCTATGCATCCAACACATTTATTAAAAGTAGGATAATCAAGCTGCTATTCATATCGAACAGTAGATGATTCAGATCACAATGTTAAAATCAAGTACGATTATGCCAACAACTGTAGAAACGTATTATTTGGTTATTATTTTTATGATATAAATTAACCGTCCTATAGTCAAGGCTAATTTTACATTGATTTTCAGGAAAACCAACGAGACTGCTCACATGTTAGCATTAAGACATGAACAGTTCGAGTCATTCCTGTGATGCAACCACACAGGTACCTGATACCCTGATGGATCATTCACACCATTTTGTTATGTTCGTCACTTAATACGCTTGAAGCCATTACGAGTTCACCTTAGTCGATAAACGCGAACGAGACAATTACCAGCGCGTCCAGGTGGGCTACCTTGAATCCCAAAACTGCAAAACAGAAGACTTGGTAGGCGTAGAAAGTATATTCTACAACACCCAGCAATCACAATACAATCAAGCACACAACTCTCGTTTATTTATACATCATAGAAACGTACTTGGGACAGTTACGAAAATAGCACACTAAAATACACAGCAGCCAATCACAGCCAAGGATTTTCCTGGTGGGGATTCAAATCTCAAGGTCAACTGATCAGCCCATGCTGGCAAACGTGAAATCCAAAATAAGGCATTTATCAAACGAGTTCTGGGGATCTAACATCCCCAACACATTTATATACACCAGTGCATATCTAGTGATTATTTCCGATCCATGATCGCGTCGTCAATCAATATGCACCGCATGAACAGGCCATTTTGACCCATCCCGCCTACATGACTGTCAAACTCATTATTATTAACAGTGGTGATATACAATACAGAACACCAATGACTCTCGGGAATGTTGCAAAACAACCACTAGTATCAATGAAATCGGTCACTCTGCTAACCGATTTTGTTTATGGACTGTTAGCAATGCTTGTCAAAGCTTGATGCATACAGGCCCAAACACTTCTATTACCTTTTGTATCTCTAGTATCTCTATTATTTGCTGATATCTTTCACTAAATTCTTAATTGTCAATACAAAATACAAAACAAAAACTAATATAAACAAACTTGCTGATGATGCTAACCTTTTAAATTATCAGTAAAATCAAGATAAACTTTGATATATTGAAAAATAAATTCAGTCATGAACGGAGTGAAAGGTGACATTAAACAAGTAATTTGATAGATTACTTTCAGCAGGGTATGCAAAGCAGATTTCCAATCATTTTGATTCTCGACAACATCTCCCTATATAACAACAACACAACGACAATGAGAATGATCAGTCAAGAATAAAGAGTAATCTTTTTTTTAGAAATAAAGTTTATATCTCGTTAAAAATTAGTAGGCGAAAAATTTTGGTTGATTGACATCATTTCGTATCGATTTGTGTACTCCTTTTAGAAAAAAAAATATATCAACCGAAGTAGATCTGGCACCCAGCAGATAGATGTTAAATGTTTGGATGATGATGCATTCCTATGATGACTGATAGTTAATGTAGGTTGGATATACTTACTAGTTTGATATCAGTATCTTGAAGACCCGACCATAGCTGCCACGTTGTCGTGGTGGTATGCCTATCGTGATGACCCAACCGAGCTACATTGGTTGGAACATACGTTCCTATAGGTTCTACTATGCCAGGCAGGTCGATTGGAAAATGATGAGACTAAGAGCAGCTACTCAAGGTCTGAGGGCGAAGTCGTACTGCTGACAGCAGAGTGTGATAGTAGTAGGGCGTTTCCCTAAGACAATCAGCATCTGCAGCGGCGCTGCCTTCTCACAAGGGAGGAAGGGGTTAGAAAAGGTCGAGGCTAAAAATGTCACACCTCACCTTACCTCAGCTGGTAAGGCCTATTGATGAGCGGGTCTAATACAGTAAAATCTTCCCATAAGTCATCATGCACAACCGGCCTCAAGCAATTGTCCTTTGGACTCTGGAAGTCACTCTCCCAAGTCTATAATATTAACGGTATCCCAACTTCTTTTTCAGGCTCCGCAAAAAACACCCTTCCACGGTGTCGGTAGCCTGGAAGCGATATCCGTCCACATACTCGCGACGACACACGAGTTAAGTATGGTCACATTCAAAACCTCCACCCACCACCTTCTAATGACCTTCTCACCTCCATGACCAAACCTTTATCATCTAAATAGAAGTTAACTAGAGGAAAAAACAAGCGATATTCATACACGTGACGAGTGTGATGACTTACTTTTAAGCGTTTACGATTCATTCGTACATACCAATTCACAAGGTGATCAATAAATTTTACTAAACGTGGTACCACCGTATACAAACGATAACCTATTTTAAAAAAAGAAAATAATTCGTATAGAATATACAACTGATTTTCAAACACACACAGATATAGATAGATACATTAGTAATGAACACGTTTATCAACTGCAAATTCATCTTAGTTGGGATAACATCGAAAACTATGGAGCATTAGGCAGTTGTTTTATACCTAGTACATAGCGTCTCAGTTGTGTGTACCCATGACCTTATCAAAGATCGAATGCATGACGTTTAGGAATTTCAGGCGAACATTTAACACCGTCGGAACCACTAAGTCGCTGTCCAACAGTACAATTTTAACATCATTTAATTTGCGACAGCGTGACGATCATCCACAAACCAGATTCCAGTGGAGGAGGAAATCAGGAAGAAGCGGTGGAAGTAGATAGGACACACACTACGAAAAGCACATAACTGCGTCACGAGACAAGCCCTCACATGGAACCCTCAATGCAAAAGGAAAAGAGGAAGGCCAAGGAACACATTACGCCGAGAAATAGAGAAAGATATGAGAGGAATGAACAAACATTGGACAGAACTGGAGAGGGAAGCCCAGGACAGAGTTGGTCGGAGAAAACTGGTGGGCGGTGGCCTATGCTCCATTGGGGGTAACAGGCGTAAGTAAGTAAGTGACGATCATCCAATGCAATCGCTGACAACTGTTTCATTCTGAACATAACAGAAGAGTCCCATAATAGTATGGCAGTTACTCAATTATTCATAGATCTCAAAAGTCAACCAACTGAGGTCATTCTGTGATGGATACAACCAATCTGCAAAAAACCACTTCAACTAAACACCTGTAACAATTATTCACTGATTAAGAGATAAAATACACAAGATTTGTTCATCATAGAAACGTTGTAACATAAGACAGTCACCATTATCCAACAGTATTGACAGGATGATTTCCTTAATGTCAAATTGATTGATGGCTTCGACAATAAAGCTAATTTTTTCACTAGGGCTTTATTCCAAACAATTTTAAAGCTAATCGGTTTAGTGAATTTCGATGAATTTAATTTATTTCAATTTCGGTCGGTGGCCTATGCTTTACGAGGAGCAACACGAGTAGATAAGTAAATAATTCATCATTACAATGTATAAATTGTAAAAATTAAAAAACCTTTGGAAAAAAATACTTTTTTGAAAAATCATAATATTTAATTTGTGCTCAATTGAATGAGACAGCAGAGCTCAACAACATTTGACCTAAATTTTATCACAAAATATCAATTAAATAAAAGTGAATATCGTAATTATACTTAACAAGCACACGTTTATCTACTCGAATTGTAGATACATTTTTAAATGACGAGTTGTTGATGGTACTTCTAGCGAGTGGTTGAAAGTCAATTACTTTAACCAGTAATAAACCCTTGTTCTTCAATGAATAATTAAAATAATATAAGCTACTGAATTCCAAATTAGTAGTTCAATACGGAAACAACAAATATGTTTACCACTCTATTCAAAATGGTTCGAATTGGATTGTGAAATAGTTTTACAGTTTATACAACTAACAAGTTTTAACATGTTACAAAACACATATATATATCAACTGAGCTAAATAGTTGTTGATTATGGAAGATTGACGACACTGTATTCCTGGAAACTGTAGATGTGAGTAAACGTAGAATAGAATGTGAATAGCACGTGAATCCAGGACATGCGTTTCATCCTACTTACGACTCATTAGCTGGATTTGATTTTCACTGAGAGACTCGAACCTAATGCTGTTTGATTCAAACGCCAACCAAGACCCATCGAATTTCAGTCAATATATCAACGACGGGATAATTCAAACCACTTTAAATCCAATTAAGAAAATCTGATAAACGATAAATCATTAAGTGAATTTAAAATTCGTTTGTGTGCATGCTTCTCATGAAGCAATTTGGTTTGAGAAGTTACGCGAAACCCATCTTCCAAGTAAATGACACTTAATCAAAACCGCAGAAGGATTGAATGATGCATAGATGCAGAGAAATCTACCTAAACTTTCAGTTTTTCCTGAAAAAAATTTATCACTAGTGATAAATAAACCATTTTTATATATATTTTGAGTAATTAGGAAGGAGATGACGCATATATGCTATCATAAACGGAAAGTACATTGAAGGGAATAAGATTAATATACCTCAAAATTTTCGTTCCCAAAACATTGGAAAATTCTACTTACCTGAAAGTTCTTCATGTACAAATAATATTAAACTTTGAGTAAATGATAATATCCAACGATCCATAAAATTATTTGTTACAGGGAATTCATCTGGTTTTACAATAAACAATTGATGAGTTGCTTTTTGATATGGAAGTATTGATGACTAAGTGATTAGACAAAAATTGAAAGTTGAAATTTGGATTAAATGTTTAATCAATGAACAATTGAGTTATAGAAGAACAAACACGCACGATGATGATGACGATAGAGTGTAATGCATAATGATAATAATGATTTTGACCAATTTGGTCTCGCGTGCTGTTACGGGTATGAGGGCGGTTGTCACTTCCCAGGTGCCCCACCATGGAAGGTTGTTTCTTGAGGGACCTGAAAAGGAATATGGATTAGTGTTGGTGCGTGACCGCAGAGTCCAAGGGACAACTGCTTGAGGCCGGTCACGCACGGCCTTTTTATGAGACGTTGTTTGAGGATTAGCTCCGTTCTTAAAGGCCCTTAGTGGGCACCCTTACCCAAGGAGACGGAAATCCGTGAGTTAGGGGAGGTGTGACATTTTTAGGGTCGACCTTTTCTAACCCTTCCTTCCTTGTGAGAAGGCAGCAACGCTGCAGATGCTGGTTGTCCGAGGGAAACACCTTACTGCTGTCACAGCCCTCTGCAGTCAGCAGTACGACTTCGCCCTCAGACCTTGGGTAGCTGCTTTTAGTCTCATCGTTCTCCAATCGAACTGCCTGGCATGGTAGAACCTTCAGGAACATATGTTTCAGCCAGTATAGCTCGGTTGGGTCATCACGATAGGCAAGCCCGACCACCACGTCAAGGTAGCAGCTACGGTCTTCAACACCTCTAGTTTCGACTTTCTAAACTTTTCTCACTGAATCATACTTCTTGAATAGTATCTTCTAACCCTAACCTCTCCGACTACTTCTAATTCCCTTACTACCCCTATTACTATTGGATTTGAATTGACAATTATATCTCTGTGCTGATGTGGTATGGCAACATGAACTGATGTACTTACGTACCAAGTTCTACGTTGCATCTGACTGACTGACTGACTGATAATGATAATAATGATTTAAGCAAGTGGAATGATGAACACTGTCAACTAGTTGTACCTGTAATAACACTATACTAGCAATTTTCAGGTCAAAGTATACATTTTTTTAAGTACGTTGAAGAAGTTAGCTGATTTAGCATGTTTTGATGGTTAAAACAGATTTTAGCTACGTGTCATTTTAAAAAGTAAAGTAACCGATTTTTCTCTCATATACTTAAAGCAGTTTGAAAGTGGAAACATGGAACAGTTCATGAAGTGATACTGTTGTATGCAAAAGTGTTCCCTTTGACTAAGATTTAAACGAACATAACAAATCTCTCTCCAAGATGATATAACAGATAATTTACGAACATGAAATTTGAATATGAGCACGAAACGATGTCGTTGGCTAATCGTAAGCATAATCAACTAACAGAGATAGGATAGTGGCTAGTAGTGCGATCCAGGAGACGCGTTTCGTCCTCTTTTCAGACTGGATATAACCGCATTTCAGAGTTGATGCATATTTCGAGACTCAAACCCAGTACCGTTAGCTTCAAACGCCATCGTGTTATCCTACTTAACTTCTGAGTCTAGACAGATGCGAGCTGGTGCAGTGGGGTGAAGTTTAATTAAAATTACCAATACAAATGAAATAATCCACTTATGTTGTTTATTTTATTTTGAAAGATTCCTTAGAACTCGATAAAAACACTGATCAGACTATACAAACATATGATACTTAGCTGGTTAAACACATCCTACAGAATTGACACTACTAAACCTCACAGTTACTAACTGGTTGATTAATGGAGTACAACCCTGTCGGGTGTAGGCAGTAACTACCAAAGACAAGTGAGTGAGGTTGGGCAAAATCCGTAGATCAACCAGAGTTAGACATTAACACCGTTGGATGCCAGCCCAGTGGTCCGGTGGTTAGGCGTTCGCGCACAATACCGAAGGTCCCGGGTTCGAATCCTGCGAGGTGCAGGAGTCGTGGATGCGCACTGCCACTAATGAGTCCCATACCAGGACGAAACGGCCGTCCAGTGCTTCCAGGTTTCTAATGCTGGACTAACAATGATTGAACGATGATTTCAAATTTTTAATAATAAGCCAAAGTTAAAATGAAGCTCATAAACAGTAATCCAAAATACCGAGATTGGTTTAAGGCCTTGATATAGTATCTGGATTGAATATCCACTCCTATTCTAGTTATTTACAGACATACAGTAGTAGTTCTATAGCTTGATTTGAGAGCCGTATTCAACTCTGTTGATGAATAGGTTTTATGTTAGTGCTTGTGATTGAATAGAATACCGAAATTCATTAACTGGCAGAGGGTTGGTTATTTGTTCAAACAGCATTGATGAAATTAGAGTTGGTCGGGGTCTGTGTGACAATCGTAACCGGCGGTTTAAGAGTTTGAATGACAAGGCTCAAAATAGTATACAATGGCGCAGGTACATCTATTTTTTGTTTTCCTCCAAATCCTAAGCTTCAAAACTTCCTCACGATCATTTTTAAGAAATTTATTTCATTGGTTAACATTTTCTGGAATCGTAACTTTAATCTGTGATTTTTTCTATGACCACAAATACTTTTACTACCTCGACTATTTTGGAATTACGCCTGACAATTTGCTATTGAGGTATAGCAACTTGAACTAATGTATATACGTTTACGTATGGCTAACCAACGACTGCCTCGACGAGCTATGTTTTGTGGTGTAGGAGTAGGTTGGAAGAAAGTTAGGGGCGGCCACACCAAAACATGGCAAAAATCAATGAAGTCACTGACTAGTCGACTGAGTCGTGTTGGAAGATGTAGACTACCTGGTTGGGGTCCGCGAGACGAAAGTCACCAATGGTTAGAAACCTTGAACGACATGGCTCAAAATCGTTTGCAATGGCGCCGGTGCATTTATTCTTTGTGTTCTCTCAAATCCTAATCTTCTGGATTCGTCAGTACCTCTACCTTTGTCTTTCTAACCTTATCTCACTGAATTATACTTCTTGAATAATATCTTCGAACCCTAGTCTTCTTCATTACCATTCATACCTGTACTATCTTTATCACTATGGGATTTGATTTGACATTTGCGCCTCTGTGTTAATGTGGTATGGCAGCAACATCAACTTATGTACATACGTACGAAGTTCTACGTTGTAACTGACTGACTGACTGAGGTTGGAGCTTATGGCAAACTGGTCAAGTCAAGTGATATACATAAGGGTTATTCACTATCCTACTTTTAGAAATAATTCTTTACAGATTGATCTTCTACTAAGAAGTTCAGTGATCCACTTTAAGAACGCAGATGACATAGTCATATTCAAAGCTGAATCTTCTAAGCATCCTCAATAACGATGTTCGAGATGCATTTTCCTCTCTTAAAGATGTAAAACTGTTTGGGGACGAGTCGAAATCAACGCTTAGTTTGGTCGCATGGAGTGAATTAATCGGATGCATTGACCACTTAAATTAACTTTTAAATATTAACAACCCTACTGTCTCGATGACTAGTGAGATCTCATTTACCAACTCGTACAACATTTGACAAAGGTGAGATGTCCATGTCCCAATCAAAGAGATATCATATCGAGCAGGAGTTTAGATTGTAATAGTTTAAGGCTTTTAAAGATTATGAACAAAAGTAGAAGACATGTCAGTTAGTGTATTTCAAGTATTTGATGATAAGGGGCCTCGTTAGTAGTGGTGCTAATAGTAGTAGTATTGTAGTGAAGGAGAACACAGGTGGGGCAACCGACTTGTATTTATCGAAAATTACCGAATTGTTACTCAGTAAAATCGGTAAAACCATATCGTAAATCGTTCATTTGCAAAATATCAGTTCATCATATCGAACTGGACTGTTCCTGTTGCAAAACAATCATCCATTGTCACTATTCATGCGTTTCATACAAATTCCATTGTGTTCTAACTCTTCCTTTCTTGATCTTCCCCCATCTTCTGCTGCCAGACATTACGTTGACACTCGCGTCATATACTACTTATAAGTAGCTCGCACCACAGTATTACTTATACTTAATAAACCATCGAGTGTTAAAATTACTGGATTTTCAAGAAAAACAACATCAAATCAACAACTTACTTCAATTAAAAATCGTAATGCATTACACCATGGTAAAAAGACATCTTTTACAATTTCATGTACACCAGATTCATTGAATCGGAGATTTTGTGCACGAACAACCGGTGAATTGATTAAATAAAGTCGTAATGGATCTGCACCGTGTTTTTGTATCACTTCAACTGGATCTGGATAGTTTTTAGCACGTTTACTCATTTTTTGTCCATCACTAATATAGATCAAGTGTATTTATCATCGTTGTTGTTGTTGATCGTCAATAAAATGAATAGTAAGATAGATTGCTCATTAAAAAACATGATTATGACTAATATGATACTCATTTTTGAAACCATGGATCGATCGATGTTAGACCACCATTAGAAACCTGGAAGCACTCAATGACGGCCGTTTCGTCCTGGTATGGGACTCCTCAACAGTGCGCATCCACGACTCCTGCACCCCGCGGGATTCGAACCCAGGACCCTCGGTATTGTAGGCGAACGCCGAACCATTGAACCACTGAGCCGGTATCTAACGGTGTTAATGTCCGTCATGGTTTCAAAAATATGTAACTTAACACTCTTCACAACGCCGTAATATGATACTGACTAATTTCCAGGTACAGATTACTGTGCGTGGATTCGACCCATGCTTTATGTGTGAGGGGCTAGATAGTAGTGATATTATCTTCGGTTGTCTAAACCAAGGTAAGTGGAGCGAGGTTCACGCTTACAATTTATATGTTGAAGGTTAAACGACTCTAGATACTGTTGGATGTGTTAGGATGTTGGAAGTTGTCGACAGAACACACTGATTAACCAAAATTTTAAGCTAGTTAGTATTTGTTAGCAAGCCATATCTATAATCTCGAGAGAATTGATGATACTAATATACTGAGCCAATCAATGGAAGGTAACCGAATGAGAAGGCCGCTGGATGAACATCAAAAAATGTCCTACAATGTTTTCTTTCCTAAAATGAATGTATATATACACAAGTACTTGTTCATATCATTTAGTAGTCAAATAGACTTAGTCTTCATCTGTTTGCCTTCTCGCTCAAGAGACCGGAATGGGAGGTTAGAACTTATCACCTTCAGATCTGGACATCGTGCAGCATCATAACAACTATCTTTTGGATTAAAACACGAGTCACCCAGCTTCACAATCCAAGAGGCTACTACTACTGAGTAACCCAAACAGCGCAAAGTGTAGAGCTGGATGGTAGGAGTTCAAAATCCAAATCTAGAGTTTACTGGCTATTACCTTCAACTAAATAACACTCAAAAAACGTATCTGTTCAGTTTGAAAGTTTGATTATTTTAGAAATTTTGCTTATTTTGCACTTAGTCAATGCGACTATTTCTGTCATTTTTTTCATTTAAAATAATGACAAACATAATGCAGGTGGTGGTAATACTAGTAGAATTTGTACCAAAACACTGTAAAAAGTGAACGACAGAATTCGATCACTAGTATATACTAGGTAAGTATAACGTTTAGCCGCAAAATCCAACCTGAAACCGCCCAGTTAAATGAAAGTCAAGTCTTTAAATAAATAGCGCTGCTCAAAGTTAAGAAAGCAAACTTAAATCGAAATAATATTAAATGTTAACATAAGTATGAAGAATGTTAAAACATAGTTTGTTTACTACTAATACTACTATTACTACTCAGCTGACCCAAGGTCAAACTGCATAAGGTGCGAGGTGTACAAACCTTACTAGCATCAACTTAGCGGTTACACAAGTTGATTTCATTAAACGCAATAAATTAAATGACTTTTGATAACATGTTATTCGATTTGATATTTTACATTACAAAACAATAGGTGTCTTCGAAGCATTGCTCGTATATCGTGGAACACCCAAGTGAGCAACGCTGTTATTAGGAATCGGGTGCTAGGTAAGAATGGCAGATCAATAGATGAAGTAATAAAACTTCATCAGTTGAGGTGGTTGGGACATGTGTTGCGTGTATGCCTAACCACCAACTGCCTCGACGAGCTTTGTTTTGTAGTGTAGCTATAGGATGATAGAAAGCTATGGGCGGACAAACCAAAACATGGCACAAATCCATGAAGTCACTGACAAGTGGACTGAGTCATGTCGGTAGTTGTCGACTACCTGGTTGGGGTCCGCGAGATGATAATAATCGATGGTTAGAGACCTTGAATGACATGGCTCACAATCGTTCGCAATGGCACCGGTGCATTTATTCTTTGTGTTCTATCAAATCCTAATCTTCTGGATTCTTCAACCCCTCTACTTTTGACTTTCTAAACTTTTCTCATTGAATCATATTTCTTGAATAATATCTTCTAATCCTAACCTCTCAGATTACTTCTAATTCCCTTACTACCTCTACTACTATTGGATTTGAATTGACAATTATATCTCTGTGCTAATGTGGTATGGCAACATGAACTGATGTACTTAGGTACAAAGTTCTACGTTGCATCTGACTGACTAACTGACATTACAAAACAAGAGAGACAATAACATCTGTAGACAAACATCAAATTTCACTGAAAAAAAAACACCAACTCTCTCCCACGCACACAAACACACACACAATCACAACGATCTTTAAAAAAAGCAAAAACTCATCAACTAACTTACGAGGCTAAAACAATGCCATTCACAATTAAATTACGAAATGGTGGTTCATCAAATAATGCCGTGGATAATACCAATAGTGTATAAAACCAACCACGTGTTTGATCAATACCTTCAGCAATGAAATCAGCCGGGAAACCTTCTTGAAATACTTTAGTATTCTCAAATGGATAATGGATCTATGCATAGAAATTGTAAAAGAATAAAAAAATGTTTTGTTTGTGTAAACATTTTATAAACAAATTTCATGCGATATCATGATAATCACCGGAGGAAGATTTAAATTTTTACCCTAAGTCAGTCAATCAGTCAGTTACAACGTAGAACTTCGTACATGAGTACATCAGTTCAAGTTGCCATACCGCATCAGCATAGAGACGCACACTGTCAGTTCAAATCCAATAGTGGTAGAAATAGTAGAAGTAATAGCTGTAATAGAAAAAATTAGGGTTTGAAGATATGATTCGAGAAGTATAATTCAGTGAGACAACTTTAGAAAGAGAAAGATAGAGATTAAGAGGAATTCAGAAGGTTAGAATTCAAAAGAACACAATGAATGAATGCACCTGCGTCATTGCAAGCGATTTTGCGCCATGTCCTTCAAGGTCTCTAACCATCGGTGACTTTCGTCTCGCGGACCCTAACCAGATAGCCTACATCTACCCTTAGTCATTAGAATATTTTCTAATAGTCGATTTCATGATAGCTACAAGGAATGTTTGACATAGAAACATGATCATTTCTGTGCATGAGTACTTGTTTATTGGTACAAGTACAGACACATGATGACTATAATAAAAACGTAAAAATTTACAGGCTTTTTTTCTGTTTAATCAGAACATTCACACATCACAGGTTAGGTGATTATAGATAAGATTGAATGTAAATATTACGATAACTGAGTAGAATTAATTCTTACAGAGGTGTATATAGAGAAAAAATGTAATTGGCACATAAATATCATTGAAGGGAAACTAGTTGAACAGAGAGAATTTCAGGTTGATTACATGAAAATATGAAGAGATGCATTAAAGTTGCAGTTGAATTTGTAGATTTTCTTTTTCGAAAATTGCTCTTCATGAGGTTACCAACGGGAAACAAAGAGTATTAGAAATTAGTTTCTGCCTAGGTATGGGACTCAAATTATTACGGACTATCTACTTAAGGACATCTCTGAAAATTAGTCACTAGCGAGGCTGAAACAAATCAAGAATAAAATAATAAAAATACTGCAAATGGTACTGGGTGATTGACGGGATATATTTCGAATTGATTGAAGTACGGATTGTACACCGAACCCAGAATTTTCAATGTTTATGCATTCATTGTGAGGTGTCTGAAGACCGGAGTGGAGTAGTAGGTGTGAACAAACGACAAATTTCGTACTCGGACGAAACAGCTTTCCAGTTCAGTCTGATTTTCATCACTGAGGTGAATCTAAAACTAGATCTAATTATACTCAGATTTAATACAATTAGGTAACTCAAGTACATACTGGTAGACTTAGGTTTGAACATTTTAATGATACTAAACGACTGCATACCATGAAGTGGTTAGTAAAATTAACGTCCGAACCTCCTAACTCCAGATGCGGAATGCTAAGTGCTTTAAAAAAAACAACATTAAACTACTATCGATAGACAAATAGTTATTAATGGAATATATATATATAGACTAACCTGAGCATATGGCATAGATCCTGATTCGAACCAACAGTCAAATACTTCAGTAATACGATGTAACACACCACGTCCAGTAGATGATGGAATAGTGATTGGATCAACACTGCAATTGAAACATTCGAGGAGAGTAAGAGAGATGGTAATACAAAAAGTATTAATCATTATGGGATGGAGTCAAGTCAGTTGCAACGTAAGAACTTCGTACGTATGTACATAAATTCATGTTGCTCCCATACCACATTAGCACAGAGACGCAAATTTCAAATCAAATCCCATACTGATAAAGATAGTAGAGGAGGTATTAATGGTAATGAAGAAGACTAGGATTTGAAGATATTATTCAAGAAGTATAATTCAGTGAGATAAGTTTAGAAAGACAAGGGTAGAGGTGTTGACGAATCCAGAAGATTAGGATTTGAGACAGCACAATGAATGGATGCACTTGCGTCATTGCAAACGAATTTGAGCCATGTCGTTCAAGGTCTCTAACCATTGGTGACTTTCGTCTCGCGGACACCAACCAGGTAGTCTACAACTACCAACATGACTCAGCCCACTTGTCAGTGACTTCATTGATTTTTGCCATGTTTTGGTGTGGCCGCCCCTAGCTTTCTTCCAACCTACTTCTACACCACAAAACATAGCTCGTCGAGTCAGTCGTTGGTTAGCCATACGTAAACGTATATACATTAGTTCAAGTTGCTATACCTCAATAGCAAATTGTCAAGCCAAATTCCAAAATAGTCGAGGTGCTAACAGTATTTGTGGTCATAGAAAAAATCACAGATTAAAGTTATGATTCCAGAAAATGTTAACCAATGAAATAAATTTTTTAAAAATGCTCGTGAGGAATTTTTGAAGCTTAGAATTTGGATAAAGACAAAGAATAGATGTGCCTGCGCCATCGTATACTATTTTAAGCCATGTCATTCAAACTCTTTAACCACCGGTTACGATTGTCACATAGACTCCGACTAGCTCTAATTTCATCAATGCTATTTGAATAAATAACCCTCTGCCAGTTAATGAATTTCGGTATTCTATTCAATCACAAGCACTAACATAAAACGTATTCACCACAACAGATTTCAATACGGCTTTCAAGTTAAGCTATAGAACTACCATTGTATATATGTAACTAGATTGCAAACGATTTTGTGCCATATCGTTCAAGGTAAGGGATTATTGAAGGATAAAGGTGTTTGTTCACTATAATATTCAATCAAGCGATATATATATATATATATATATATATATATATATATATACTTCTTTTTTTTGTATCATAAAATAAAAACTTACAATTCTTTATGTAAATCTGTAACTTCTATACCAGATAATAATTTCAACTCTTCAATAGAACCAATGCAAATCACTTCTTCCATATCATCACTTGCCCATATTGGAATCGGTGTACCCCAGAAACGATTTCTAGACACTGCCCAATCACGTGCATCACGTAGCCAATTAGCAAATCGACCTTCACGTACAAAATCCGGTACCCTATTTTTTTATTTACAATAATAAATATGACAGTCGAAAGCATAGAGATTACATAATACATAGGAATAATAAGTTGACATTTTTAAAGAGAGATATTGATTATTTGCTTACAACGATACACGGGGACTATACACAATTTTGTTTGACTTAACTGAAGTAGGCATCGAATCAAGGTATGAAACTGAGATATAGAACATTTGAAAGGAGAGAGGGCAATTAACCACTACTATAATAGATCATTTCTGCTGTACTCTGTTAATAGCTAACAGTTTAGTTTACAAATACTCGACAGTTTGAGTAGATTTTGTTACAATTTCACTTTTAAAATGCTACTATGCCCGTTGTAACAGAGTGAGTGAAGCAGAAATGATCAAACGAGAAGATCATTGGATGACCACCATCAGAAATGTCTTAAAAGACGAACGAACATTATTGGTCTAGATACAGACTCATTTTCAATGGGGATAGAAATATATATATATATATATATATATATATATATATATAGTAGCCAAATAAACCTTCTCTTTTGCTCCTGGCTTCTCGCTCAAGTATTCAGTTTCAGAGAGATTAGAATGCATCGCATCCGCATCTCGGTTACCGCACATCATAACACGTTGAGTGAATAAGTAAGCGGACAAAGAGAAGTAATCATGAATACAAGTAACAAGGATCGATGAAGGAAGAATAACCGTATTATTTTTATTTTGTGTTTTGATCGAAACGATCAGTTGTATGACATTATTATCTCCACTACTGTCTGAATTTTTCTTTTCGCTGTACTGAAGTTATAGGCTAACACTTGTAAATCGATACAAATGTGTAGGATGTTCTGTTTTGATTATGAAACAGTGTAGATCACTCTTTTTTTTTTAAGAAAAATTCATCCTGGTGTGGTGGTCAGTAGTAACGATAATAATAGTAGAAGAAATAATTAGAGTCACTGGTTTATCAGTTCGCTTCAATGATTCACGGTTTACTTGATAATAAAAATCACTGATAACTGAGATTCTTAACTGATCGATCACATATTCGACGATTAACTATCCTGTGTCAAGTAGTTGCATGTAATTTTTGTTCAAGTTTTAACTTATATTGTACATCAATGAATAGAAAGAGAAATACGATTCGGGCTAATATAGTTAGTTGTTTAATCTATCTGAATGCTGTTCAATTGCAGAGATTGTCGTTAATGTATTTTTCACTCTTTTTACGTAAATTGAATATAAAACATTCGTCAGCCATATCCCTGAACCTAAACTCTAACGATGAACAATGTGGAGACGCCTAAGACATCATTAACATCCTTATATGAGCTTGAGACGATGAATCAATACATATTCCATGGGTTTTTTTTTAATTTACAGACAGAAAAGTCCATAGAGGACTTTAAGTAATTATGTAAAACCTACTATATTTTTTCATAAACTATCCCTACACATTTTGATTGACTAACAATGGGCTGAAAATAATCTCTGTAAGTTCAAGCACCCCTCATGTTTGTTCCCTATACACACTTACATGGCGTATTGAAAGAGCAATAAACAAATTGTGAGGCGTACTGATGGCAAGCCCATATGACTTGTCCCAACCATCGGACAAGTTATTTGACCTCGTCAATTACTCGGGGGGGGGGGTGTAAGCCTATCAGGACCTGCTGCTCTACTTCGCTTTAGATTTCCTATAGCTTTCTCAACTTCATGTAAACTGGGAAGACTTAAATCGATTTGCCATTCAGGATGACTGGAGATCGTGGGCAACCGAAGTGTGGCTCGAGGCCAGTTGAACTGACCCCTCAAGTGTTCTGCCCATCGGTCCAGTCTCCTGGATTGAGAATGGATAATAAGACCATCCTTCTCCGAGATAGTCTCATTCACATTAGGGTTCCTAATACCGGTTTCTTTGATAAGGAGGAAAAGTTGTCTAGTGTTGCCGATCACCGCTGCCTTTTCCATCGCTTTTGCTTTCGCCACCCATCACTGTTCACTGTCGTTACGTAGGCTTTTTATAAGTCTGCGCCTAAGCTGACTACGCTCTTCATCATATTCAGAGTCAGTTGTCAATTACTCGCTCATAACCTTGGTTGTTTTTACTTGAGTGAGTAATATGGCAAATGCTTGCCTCACTTGTCACACACATGTCTAGTTTATTTATTTAGGCCTGACTATAAGCACTTGACTTAATCATGCCTCGCATCCTACCATTGAGTTGATCCACTAGTAGCCTTCTCTGCTCTACTTTGCTTTGCAATCTATTACCTGTTTGCTGAAATGAATCCATCCAAAAAACCTTGTTGGGCATTTAATTACCACTGTCGCATAAACAGGGTTTGCTTAAAAATGATATGCGAATCAGAACTCGAGCCACTAAAACATGTAGAGAATATATATTAAATTATAGTGAGGAAAAATTCGAATAGTTATGACAATGAATCTTAATTAAACAAACAACAACAACAACAATGGTTGATGTACATACCATTGACATTTTGCATTGTTAGCTAACAATCGATCAACCAATTGTTCAACACGAATAAACCAAGTAGGAATAGCTTTGTATATCAATGGAGTATCTGATCTATAATTACATGGTGTTTTCAGGAAAAAAAATGTAAACAGTACAAATTCAATCTGAAAATAGTGGTGACATGACAATAATATATAGATTTGCTATTCTGGTAAAAATATACAAGTCAATATGTATCACATTGCACCCAGATACCCGGTCCAAAGTGAGGAGACCACTGCCCATCACGAAATGCGCTCATATGATCACGCGTACCTATCCGTCGCCAGGGAAGTCCTACTCACTACCTTCTTGTGGCTGGGGTGCTGTTTACATATTTGACAGGACTTGAAGTGAATATCCGACAAGGGCTTAAACAGGGTTGGTGGGTAGGGGTAGAGTTGAAAAATCCTGATTCCAAACCAATGGTGCACAAGGGCACCAGGATCCTAAAGGAATGAATGGCATATAAACCGATTGTTGGTCACTGGCTACCATAGGACTGCATCTTCTCATGTAACTCTGCTGCGTTGTGGATTAGATTTTTGGATTAAAGGCTCAGGAAGTAGCCCCTTAAGACAATATAAAGTCACTTGGCGTATTCACTTGTTTTCAATTTTCCGTGGAGGCTACGAACGATTGAGCTTTATTTCCAAGTCAATCAATTCAATTTTAAACAGATCTTCATTTTTTTCATACAAGGGTGTTGAACATGATTCCATTCTCAGGATTAAAACTGAAGCTAGTAAGTGGTTTGAATAGTAAGCAGTTTATTTGAACAATCATACACTGATGACTAGGAGTATGATTGAAAGTTATTAAGTTGTTACGTCAGATGATTGAAAATGTGAGATAAATAACTGTCAACAACACTGTTAGGGAAGTTAGATCCCCAGAACTAACTTGATAAAGGTCCTAATTTTGTATTGTTGGTGGTTTCACGCATAAGCTGTTCGGTTAACCTTGAGATTACATTTCCCACTCGAAAAATCCTTGACTATCATAGGTTAAGGTATTATTTTAGTACGCTATTTTTGTGCCTCTCACCAAGGACGTTTCTATCATGTATCAATAAACTCGATTTGTGTGCTTAAGATCATTATATTTTCTGGGTGCTTGTAGAATACACTTTCTACGTCTTGTCAAAACTTCTTCCTGTACTTAGTGAGGCCTTGCAACGCTCACATCAGAGTAGCCTATCGTATCACTGGATCACTTGTCTTCGCTCTTGTTTACCGACTAAACTGAACTCGTAATAGTTTCGACCATATCAATTGACAAGCATAACAAACATTGAAACACAATCCACATTATGTTTTCACAGATTGTATACAATGATAAACTAACTAACTACAGGATGGATATTAACTCGCATGTTTACTGAATCGCGTCCTCAATCCAAACCATGATTAAAATTATTTCAAGCACTTGAATCCAATGTGAACAATTCAACAATCGATGTCTATTTTCGCAAACTAACTCAACCACCATGATCCATATATAGTGATGTCATAAACGAGTTGCACAATGTGAACAGACAATAGTTATCATTCTCTTTATTTAACTAGTACAAATTTGAATTATTTCTGCCCCCCCCCCCTCTTGAACAATTGGATACTTTATCATTTGAATTATACTCAATGTTTAACGACAAACACAAAACGAATCAAAAATTACTTACCTCCAACAAAATGGATAACTATGTGTAATAGTACTCTGATGCACTAAACGATTGCGTTGTTTTAAATTCTGACAAATAAACTTATCCGCCTCTTTGACATACATTCCAGAAAATTCTTTAATTTGATCAGTGAATCGACCATTTGGATTTACAGGACAAATCATTGGTGTATCTTTGGCAATAATACCATTCGCCAGACATACACGAAAATCATCCTGATAAAAAATTTTGACGAAAACAAGCAAACAAACGACAATTGATTGATTGATCATCACATTGTAACAAAAGATGAGACTTTACAATTCAATAGCTAAACTTACACCAATTAGGTTGACTGAATTGAAAGCACCATGTTGTAATACTAACGTCCAAAATTACTTACTTTCGCCTGTTACCCCCAATAGAGCATAGGCTGCCGCCCACCAGTTTTCGCCAACCAACTCTGTCCTGGACTTCCCTTGTAGTGCATCCACATTTATTTGCATCCGCTTACATTCAATTTGTTTAAGCCCTTTCGATTAATTTATTTAACCAAGCCATTCGCTTAGCAACAACTTGTATGCACCATTGATATTTTTTATTATCTGGTTTGTATGAGCTTGTACGACTGAGCATTGTTTACGCCTACGCGCTTACTCATCCTTTTCGCTTTAATGTTAATCTCTTAATTTCCCCATGAACTCACATGATTTGTATCGCTTGCTTTTGACCTTGTCAATCATTCGTCGCTTTTATTCATGTGTGTGCATATCTATTTCGCTTGTCATATGTCTGTCTTATTCTTATCTGACTATATATTCTTAGTCATGTTATATCTCTTTGAGTTGGCTCAACAGCCTTCTCCTATTCACTTCACTCATTCGCTTGCATTGTAATCCAAAGAGTTGGCTCTTAGCCTTCTCCAATTCGCTTCTCTGCTATCCTTATTGTGGTGTGCTACAATAAACGTATACGATACTTGGAGTTCATCTTCTGATTTATAAACCGAGTTTAAGAACACGCAGTAAATCGGCACACTACACCCTTTCCAGTTCTGTTCAATTTTTGTTCATTCCTCTCATATCTTTCCCTATTTTTCGGCGTAATGTGTTCCTTGGCCTTCCTCTTTTCCTTTTGCCTCGAGGGTTCCCTGTGAGGGCTTGTCTCATGACGCAGTTAGCTGCTTTTCGTAGTGTGTGTCCTATCCACTTCCACCGCTTCTTCCTGATTTCATCCTCCACTGGAATCTGGTTTGTTCTCTCTCTTTCTCCTGGTGATCGACTGGATTATGAAGACGTCGACATCTGGAAGGAAGCACGGTATCAACTGGACAGTTAGGACGCAGCTGGACGATCTGGACTTTGCAGATGACTTGGCTCTTCTATCGCACACGCAACAACAAATGCAAGAGAAGACGACCAGTATAGCAGCAGCCTCTGCAGCAGTAGGAAAAAGCAAAATTCTCCGATGCAACACAACATGCACCAACCAAATCACTCTTGATGGAGATGCTTTGGAGGACGTTAACAACTTTACATATCTGGGCAGCATCATCGACGAGAAAGGTGGATCCGATGCAGATGTGAGGGCGCGGATTGACAAAGCGAGGGCTGCATTTCTGCAGTTGAAAAATATGTGGAACTCCAAACAACTTCAACCAAAACCAAAATCAGCATTTTCAATACAAATGTCAAGACAGTTCTACTGTATGGGGCAGAAACATGGTGAACTACGAAAGCCATCATTCATAAGATACAAGTGTCTATTAACAGTTGTCTACGCAAAATACTTCGGATTCGTTGGCCAGACACCATCAACGTCCAAAATGGACAGTGTTAAACTAACTAAAATATCAGTGTTCAAATTATTGGATAAGTCATTTATCATATTTTACAGAACTCGATTGCCTCAAAATAGTATGTAATCAGAAACGGACATGATTCGTCGATTTACATTTACATTTCAGTATTTGTTTGACAAGAAGACATTGTTTCGTGATAACTAAGAACGAATAAGGAGGTCACATAAATGACTGTAACACAGAGTTCAATTTAAGCAGTAGCATTCTCTACACAAAGACTGTACAATCTTCCTTGCAATATATATGTGCGTGTATGTACGTGAAAACTCCCGTCCACATATTCCATTATCTATACATCCTATGAGGCATCATTTCATTATTCTTCCTGACTCCTCATATTTGTGTATTATGCGCATCTCCTTGATTTATTTGAAGTTATTATTATTATTACTGTCATTTTACTTATGGATTTTTTTAAACTGGTTTCTTGATTGTTGTTAGGGTTCTAACAAACTGTGTTAATTCTTTTTTTACGTAAGATTCCATTTTAGCGACTGTCATATTAGGTTATCATATTGTGACTGCGCTTATGTGCATTGATCGACTTGATTTCGTTCCCTGATTCTACCAGCATCGATTGTTTACAATTTGACTGCTCAACAATGAATTGATCTATACACTTTTGGAATTGAACTATGCTCCTTACTTTATACACCGTTGAGCCTTATCTAGTAACAGTTTTCAGGAGGAGCACTAGACGAAGTTTAGGAATATATCGAATACCGACCATCACAATATCAACCCAGAGGAGCATAACCTATAAATTCCATGACTTCAGATTTTAATTAAAACAAGTATCATTCCCTAATGTACAAGGGTGTGAACGAACTTGGTGAATCTGCAGTACCTATCTCATTGTTAGCTTTATCTGTCATGTCTCCTACCTAAGTGTTACTATATAAAACAAGTAATGGTACTGTTAAGCATCTCGCTTATACGACCCAGTTATCTTATTGCTTTGTACTCTTCGACACCGTACAACGTTCAACTAGTCTCCAAAGTCAGAATACAGCTTCAACAGATAGTTAATTACATTCTGACAGATCAAGTTGAATGCAAATAAACCATATTAATAAAAGCGGTAGTATATTTATAATTTTTACACAAGAATAGTCCAGAACATTCTCCGGGTATCCACCAGCGCCAAATCGTTGTGCCCTAACATCATAATCCTACATCGGACAAGCTTTAATTCAATTTATGTCCACCTTTACAGATACCTGTCCACATACTTTTATTTTTGCAACGATTTGTAAACTTGCATCATTTAGCTCTACAACTTCGTATAAGACTACTAGTGAAGCAAAGATCCTTAGCCTTGTGGTCTTCCACTACCAAAACCAGAAAACATCGATACTATTAAACGAAATGATCAGTAGCAATGGAACTTCCCCGCTGTGCAGATTATATGAAGCAATTCATTTAAGTGTAGTGTCTTTCATGTCATGCTATCTCAACTGTCCAAACCGATTACACACAACTCTAGCTTGAAATGAAATAAATTCGGTAAGCTTAGTGCATTCTACTTCTGTGTCACCTACAGTCATCATCCTATTCACTAACTCTTTCCACTGAACTTTCCTCTGAAATGCTACTATGGAATTTATGTCCGTAGCCACCGCTAGATTTAGTTCCATCTATCGTTTTGAATTATATATATATATATATATATATATACATATATGAAAGCTGTACTGATTAAAATGAAGAAACAAAACATAATTTCCCGACCGTAGCTGCTACCTTAAAGTGGTGGTCGGGCTTGCCTATCGTGATGACCCAACCGCGAGCTATATTGGCTGGAACATATGTTCCTGTAGGTCCTACCATGCCAGGAAGTTCGAATGGAGAGCGATGAGACTAAAAGCAGCTACTCAAGGTCTGAGGGCGAAATCGTACTGCTGACTGTAAGGGATGTGACAGCAGTAAGGTGTTTCCCTCGGACAACCAGCATCTGCAGCGATGCTGCCTTCTCACAAGGAAGGAAGGGTTAGAAAAGGTCGACCCTAAAAATGTCACACCTCCCCTAACTCACGGATTTCCGTCTCCTTGGGTAAGGGTGCCTACTAAGGGCCTTTATGAACGGAGCTAATCCTCAAAAAACCTTTCATAAAAAGGCGGTGCGTGACCGGCCTCAAACAGTTGTTCCTTGGGCTCTGCGGTCACGCACCAACACTAATCCATCTTCCTTTTCAGATCCCTCAAGAAACAACCTTCCACGGTGTGGGCAGCCGGGAAGTGACAACCGCCCTCATACCCATAACAGCACGCGAGACCAAATTGGTCAAAATCAAATCCTTCCTACACCCCCTGACTGAAACATAATTTAAGAATTGGATCAATGAGAAAACTAACTAACTAGGCACATCAAATTAGCGCTACAAATATATGATAAATATGATTTTTTTTAAGAAAGAAAAAGTTCAATTGCATGGAACTTACCTCACCGAAATAAGGAGCTTGGTGTACAATACCAGTACCAACATCTTCTGTTACATAAGTATCACATAAAATACGAAATGCATTTCTTTCTTTTTTAAGCTATAATATTTCATAGATAAGTTGTTGTTGTTTTTTTTTAAATCAATAAAACGTTCACATATATTGGATTGTATGAAATAAAAAATATTTACAATATTTATTAATTAAATATGAAGTATAAGACTATAAATGAATAAACAATAAGAGAAGTGTTTATACGTTCTCATAGACATAGAAATCGCTTAAAAATTATAAACATGAACTGCATCATAGGTGGTGAAGGTTCATCAGTTGAGGTGGTTGGGACATGTGTTACGTATGGCTAACCACCGCGACTGACTCGACGAGCTATGTTTTGTAGTGTAGGAGTAGGTTAGAGGAAAGCTAGTGACGATGAAACCAAAACATGGCAAAAATCTATGAAGTCACTGACAAGTGGACTGAGTCATGTTGGTAGATGTAGACTACCTGGTTGGGGTCAACGAGACGATAGTCACCAATGGTTAGAGACCTTGAACGACATGGCTCAAAATCGTTTGCAATGACGCAAGTGCATCCATTCATTGTGCTCTCACAAATCCTAATCTTCTGGATTCGTCAGCACTTTCTCTACCTTTGTCTTTCTAAACTTATCTCACTGAATTATACTTCTTGAATAATATCTTCAAACCCTAGTCTTCTTCATTACCATTAATACCTCTACTATCTTTATCAGTATGGGATTTGATTTGACATTTGCGTCTCTGTGCTAATGTGGTATGGTAACATGAACTTATGTACATACGTACGAAGTTCTACGTTGTAACTGACTGACTGACTCATAGGTAGACGTAAGCAGACATAAGGAATTGGAGTTTAGATATAAAAAAAATCAGGATATAAATAATGACTACAGTCATAACTTTTTGTGAAGCAGTGGCTTAGTGGTTAAGATTTTAGACTTTTGGCTAGTGAGTTTCAAATCCAAGCTCTGCTCCACCTACTCCGGTTTAATTAGACGGATGATATCACTAGCCATTGCATTTACAATATGGACTGCTTGCAAATAACTAATGAGTGAGTTAATTATTACTTTGCTGTGTATTGTCATGCATTTCAATAATACAAGTGATTAAATATGCACTCCCGACGGTAGCTGCAACCTTGACTTGGTGGTTGGGCTTGCCTATCGTGATGACCCGACCGAGCTATATTGGCTGGAACATATGTTCTTATATGTCCTACCATGGCAAGCAGATCGACGAGAGAACGGCGAGACCAAAAGCAATAACTCAAGGTTTGAAGGTGGAGTCGTACTAAAGACTATGGAGAGGTGTGACATCAGAAAGTTGTTTCCCTCGGAAAACCAGCATCTGCCTTCTGACAACAGAAGCAAGAGGTTAGAAAAGGTCGAGCCTAAAAATGTCACACCTCACAGATTTCCCTCTCCGATGGTAAAGCCTCTTAAAGAGTGAAGCTAACACTTTACAAACCCTTCATAAAAAGGCCGTGCGTGTCCGGCCTTCAGCAGTTGTCCTTTGGGCACTGCGATCACGCTCCCAGGTTGCTAAGACCAACGCTAATCCAATTTCCTTTTTACGATCCTCAAGAAACACCCTTCCACGGTGTGGGCAGCCGGGAAATGATGTCCATCCTTATATCCAAAACAACACACGAGACCGAAATTGGACATAATAAAACCTTCTTATCTCCATGACCAAACCATCTCACATTCCATTGTCACATGGCGTTCCTGATACAAACGATTAGAGTACACGAAATGTAATTCCTGGTCTCTTGAAACCCCAACAGTCCTCTTTAGCTAGGACTTTAAAATCTCGTGCCATCGATTTATACGTCATCTCTGAAACGCGCATACAGAATTCAAATAGAATCATTCATTTGACCTCTTCTTGTCAAGGTAAACAACCAACTCGATCCACACTTTGTGTATATGGAAGCCCCGATGCTGCTTGCCGTGGCCTCGCTAGTGTAGGTATAGCATTAGGCTCTAAAGCAGAAGGAACTCTCTTAGATAGCATACGAGTAAACAGTCGCTAGTGCGCTGTACAACTAAACGGGATAGTAAGGACTCAGAAATATAGGGACACTTGAGGCTGCCTCTTCGTCTCTTCTACCTACGCTCCACTGACTACAGCTCAAATGAGGTAAAAGATGAATTTCACAGAAAGCTTACTAACACTCTTTAAAATGTTAGGCGCTCTGATGCAGCAATAGTGGCTAGTGACTTCAATGCTTAAGTAGGTAGACCAGGCGAAAAGGAAAGACACTTGGGTGTATCTTATGGTGTCGCGGCTGATCGAACAGATAATGGCGACCGTCTGCTGCAGCTATGCTCAGATACCGCCTATTTCTGGCAAATACTGTTTTTAAGCACAAGAAAAAACATCTTTCAACTTGGCGACTTCCAAAGTCGTCTTAACGCTGGACCCAACTAGATCACATCGCTATCAGTCACCGATGGAAGGACACGATAGAAGACTGTCGCTCGTTCTGGAGCACACGTTTAGATTCAGAGCATGCTGTATTACGAGAGAGCATTTTTCTGGGACTTACTGGACGTGGGTTCTGAGGCAGTGCCTGTTACTGAAAGATGTGCCAAAGAAGTACATCAACCTTGTACAGGCTCTCTACTCGGACAATACTGGTCGAGTTGGAGCTTATGGCGAACTGCATTGTTGCTTAAACTGGTCATAAGACAGCTTTTGGTCGGCGTCTTCAACGAATAAAACTAAGTCAAAGGCATATTCTACATCAACAAGCGAATCTCCCGGTAAAAGTTCGACTCCTGAAAAGTCACACGATGAATAGATAACACTGTATGCCCGTTTCGGCTGTCCCACAACTTCAACTCAGTAAACTTTACAGTTGTTGATAAAACATCGGGTAAAAAGTCAGAGTTACTAAAAGCTAATTGTGATGTCATACATTACGCGAGGGGTGATTTCAGTATATTTTTTTACTTTATAGAGCATAGAAGTTTTATCAACAGGATGAAACCTGAAAGGGGTATTACAAGAATGTAACTTACATGTATGAAGTAATTGAATGGAGGTTGATAAGTTAAGCCTTCCATGGATCTTCCTTTGAAACTGTAGGTATAAAACAACAACAAAGTTATTTCAATTTTTGTTAACACTGAAACGACCGACAACGATAAAAAAGATTTTTTCACGTTGCAAAAAAGTAGCATAAACTTGATCGATATAAAATATGTCCAGTCGTACTATGTTTGTTTGTTTCCTTGTATACTTTACTTTACTTACTTACTTACGCATGTTACCCCCAATCGAGCATAGGCCGCCCTCCAGTTTTCTACAACCAACTATGTCCTGGGCTTGCCTCTCCAGTTCTGTCCAATGTTTGTTCATTCCTCTCATATCTTTCTCTATTTCTCGGCGTAGTGTGTTCTTTGGCCTGCCTCTTTTCCTTTTGCCTTCAGGTTCCCATGTGAGGGCTTGTCTCGTGACGCAGTTAGGTGCTTTCTGCAATGTGTGTCCTATCCACTTCCACTGCTTATTTCTGATTTCCTCTTCCACTGGAATCTGGTTTGTTCTCTCCCACAGTAAGTTGTTGCTGATGGTGTCTGGCCAACGAATCCGAAGTATTTTGCGTAGACAACTGTTAATAAATACTTGTATCTTCTGGATGATGGCTTTGGTAGTTCTCCAAGTTTCCATTCCATACAGTAGAACTGTCTTGACATTTGTATTGAAAATGCTGATTTTGGTTTCGGTTGAAAGTTGTTTTGAGTTGCAGATATTTTTCAACTGTAGAAATGCAGCCCTTGCTTTGCCAATCCGCGCCCTCACATCTGTACCGGATCCACCTTTCTCGTCGATGATGCTGCCCAGGTATGTTAAGGTGTTAACGTCCTCCAAGGCATCTCATACAAATAGATTAGTATCTGTCAAATTATCAAATTCACACAAGTGATGAGTAGCCAAAAGATTGGTTTCAGAGAATAGAGTGAATGATAATGTTTAGTTCTCGTATGTACAACAACCCAATGGCATAAAATATACATTATCATGGAACTCGGTAGACAACTACAAATTATTGTACTCGACTTTCTTCATATGTTCGATAAGAGGGCTAATAACATCCATGTCCAGATAGCGCAAGGTTGTATCCTATAACATAATGATTGAAGGTTGATGGTTTTGACCACAAAATACACGTAAACGATCAATACCTACGTAGACATGAACCCAGAACATCTAACTGATTTGATATTCTAGAAGTTCAGTACAGTCTGGAGAACAAACTCGGATGAACAAAGGAAGTTGTTATCAGACGCGAACACTTGATAGAGTAACGGATAGTGTTGACGTAGTTCCGTTACGACGTAAAGGGAAAAAAATGCAAGTGTCAACAAGTCGGTTACCGACATTTTATGTGTATATACCTTTAATTCTTCCTAATAAAATCTGGAATAATAAATGGATTAGAAGAATGTAAACTAGATAATGTTAACTACAACACCTGAGTAATCGTGGTGTGGTTAAATTAAATACATAATCCTCTTGCACACTAACGCTAGCGAGGTTCATCGAGAGCAATGACATTTCTTGATAAATACATTTTGTTGCAACTAATTCCTAATTGATTCTTTGATAACAAGAAAAACGTCACAAATTCCAATGGTCGGTATGACACTTACATGGTAGTATTAATTATTTAACAAGAAAAAGTCTATTTACTCCAGTTCATTACATTATTAAAGCACTGGTCACAATCAGTTACAACGTAGAACTTCACACGTACTAGTGTGGTGCGCGCTACTTATAAGTAGTATATCACGCGAGTGAAAACGTAATGTCTGGCAGCAGATGGGGGAAGATCAAGAAAGGAAGAGTGGGAACACAATGGAATTTGTATGAAACGCATGAATAGTGAAATATCAGACAATGGATTGATGTTTTGCAAATTAACGGCTTTTCTATTTTACCAATTAACCTTGTAATTTGCGATAAATACAATTTGACTGTCCTCACCTGTGTTCTCCTTCACTACACTAGTACTAATGATAGTACTTGACCTCCCAAATCGCATTAGGTACACCGAAAGTTGAACTTTCGAAGAAGTAGTTGAAAGTTTTAATGCTTTAACTATTAACCGACTAAGTTTACTGTGAAAAGGATATACACAGTGTAACAAATGAGTCACTTAAGCCTTAACCACATTGTCATCAAATTAAAACATGTCTTGAATTTTTGTGATCAGCTGAAGAAATAAAATCCGAAAATAAAACAACCGATACTTGTTTGAGAAAGCAAAACCTAACTAGGACATAACAGTAGATACCGATATTTGAAAGGATACAATTCCTGAAAGCAATAATCAAAAAAAGCGTGTCACTGTTTAGAAAACTTCTCAAATTCGGAATAATAAATAGTCCCATGGTGTTGTGGAGCAATCACACAAAATCCTGCTATTAGCAAAACTTCCAAAGTGAAAAAAAAGGTGTGGAGAAACTGATGTGGCGGTAATTTTATTAAATTTTTCATCTTATGTTTATTTGATTATTTTATCCAGTCAGTCAGTCAGTCAACCACCGACTGCCTCGTCGAGCTTTGTTTCGTAGTGTAGCAATAGGTTGGAAGAAAGTTAGGGGCGGCCAAACCAAAACATGGCACAAATCCATCAAGTCATTGACGAGTGGACTTAGCCATGTCGGTAACTGTCGACTACCTGGTTGGGGTGCGCGAGATGACAATAATCGATGGTTAGATACCCTGAATGACATGGCTCAAAACAGTATGCAGTCGCGCCGTTGCATTTATGCTTTGTGTTCTCTCAAATCCTAATCTTCTGGGTTCTTCAACAACTCTAGTTTTGACTTTCTAAACTTTTCTCACTGAATCATACTTCTTGAATAGTATCTTTTAATCCTAACCTCTCCGATTACTTCTAATACCTTTACTACCTCTTCTACTATTGGATTTGAATTGACAATTACATCTCTGTGCTGATGTGGTATGACGACATGAACTGATGTACTTACGTACGAAGTTCTACGTTGCATCTGACTGACTGACTGACTGACTTATTAAATTTTTCATCTTATGTTGATTTGATTATTTTATAACAACTAAGTGCTGAGTATGGAAGATATTAAAAGGAAAACTGCACTGGTAAAATTCACGACAACCGAAATTTAAAAAAAAACCAGCGTTCCATTCAGTATTATGATCAGTGCTTTGTTGAAGAAACAGTGAGAATTATCGGAGATATTGAAAAAGCAATTTTGTACTAAATGCTTATCCAATGAACATATACCCATATGTCGAGGGGTAGTCAGTATAGAAAATTTTTTTGTCAAACTACTCATCCTCGATAGTTTTGATCATTCTCACTGGAGAAGCAACGGCCAAATTTTCGAGCAAAATGTTGTAGTTTGGATTTGATAGTTAGGAATTTCGTAAACATGAATCTTTTTTTTAAAGATGTAGCCATAAGTTCAACAAACGTTCAAGCATAAACCATGACTAAAAAAAAAGGAGAGAATATCCATCACTTACGTATCCAATATTTTGTATTCACTTTCTTGCTTATATACTGATGTAAGACGGGCCTTCATGATTACAAATTTTCGATTTTTGGATATATCTAATCAAAAAAGGGAAAAAGTATAGTGATAGACCAGGGTTATTTTAAAATGAAATGCCTTTTACATTGTTCCCAATGTACTGCTAAATAATTGAGACATCTTGAAATAAGAAGACATCTGTGAATAAGAAGAGGTACAAACACAGTACCTAATATACAAATGTGCGTGGCTTCAATATCGTACAAATTACTCGAACGCCACTGCTTGAGTGAGAGTTTATGGTGAACTGTCATTGGAATTTTTTACTTCAAGTGGTGTCCGTCACGGCTGTCCATTCTGTCCATTCTTGTTGAACGCGGTTTTCCCCCTCGAAATGCAAAATGTTGCTTCAAGACTGGGTTGCATCGGCACCTGAACTAGTGATAGGGAGTGAAGTAGTCGAACGTGTAGACCGCTTCACTTATCTTGGGAGTCTCATCAGTGCCGATGGCCTGGTGACTGACGAAATCTCAGCACGGATACAGAAGGCTCAATTGGCTTTTACCAACCTGCGTCACTTATGGCGTAGGCGAGATATCCGTTTGCTGACAAAAGGACGAGTGTACTGTGCAGCAGTTCGCTCCGTTCTCCTATATGGCTGTGAAACATGGACATTGAGAGTAGAAGATATTCGTAGGTTACTGGTTTTCGATCATAGGTGTCTTCGAAGCATTGCTCGTATACCGTGGGACAACCGAGTAAGCAATGCTGTCGTTAGGAAACGAGTACTAGGTAAGGATGGCAGATCAATCGATGAAGTATTGAAACTTCACCAGTTGAGGTGGTTTGGACATGTGTTGCGTATGCCGAACCACCGACTGCCTCGTCGAGCCTTGTTTTGTAGTGTAGGAGTAGATTGGAAGAAAGCTAGGGGTGGCCAAACCAAAACATGGCACAAATCCATGAAGTCATTGACTAGTGGACTTAGCCATTTCGGTAATTGTCGACTACCTGGTTGGGGTCCGTGAGATGATAATAATCGATGGTTAGATACCCTGAATGACATGGCTCAAAATCGTTTGCAATGGCGCCGATGCATTTATTCTTTGTGTTCTCTCAAATCCTAATCTTCTGGATTCTTCAACACCTCTAGTTTCGACTCTCTAAACTTTTCTCATTGAATCATACTTCTTGAATAATATCTTCTCATCCTAACCTCTCCGTGTACTTCTAATACCTTTACTAACTCTTCTACTATTGGATTGGAATTGACGATTACTTCTCTGTGCTGATGTGGTATGGCAACATGAACTGATGTACTTATGTACAAAGTTCTACGTTGCATCTGACTGACTGACTGATTCTTGTTGAACTTTGTCATAGACATACTTTTACAGTTTAAATTATCTTCGCCTGACTTTTCAGGAGACACGCTTGATGACTCAGAATATGCCAATCACATAGTTCTACTTGGCGAAGACGCTGACAAAATTCAGTCTTCTGACAATGCAAGCATGTTCGGGGTGCGATTTGAAATGCGAAATGTTGCTTCAGGATTGGCTTGCACCGGCACCTGAACTAGTGATACGGAGTGAAACAGTTGAGCATATCGACAGCTTCACTTATTTTGGGAGTCTCATCAGTTCTAATGGCCTGGTGTGACGAAATATCAGCAGGGATAGAGAAGGCTCAACTGGCTTTTGCCAACCTGCGTCATTTATGGCGTAGGCGAAATATCCGTCTGCTAAACAAAGGACGAGTGTACTGCGCACCAGTTCGCTCCGTCCTACTTTATGGCTGTGAAACATGGCCAGTCAGAGTAGATATCTGTAGGTAAACTTTTTTCGATCATAGGCGTCTCTGAAGCATTGCTCGTTTATCCTGGGACAACCGTTTAAGCAATGTTGTTGTTCCGTCAGTCAGTAAGTTACAACGTAGAACTCCGTACGTACGTACATACGTTCAGGTTGCAATACCGCACTAGCACAGAGACGCAACTGTTGTATATCGATTTGCCATCCAGGATGACTAGAGATGGTGGACAACCGAAGCGTGTCTGAAGGCCGTTTGAACTGATCCCTAAAGTGTTCTCCCCATCGATCCAATCTCCTGGGATGAGAATGAATGATAGTTCAATCTTTTCCCGGGATAGTTTCGCCAACAGAATTCTGAAACACCGACTGCCTTGTCCAGCTATGTATTAAGATGAAGGAATAGGTTGGAAGAAAGCTAGGGCAGGCTAAATCAAAACACTGCACAAATCAATTCAGTGACTGACTATCTGGACGGGGTACGCGAGATAAGGGTAACCGATGATTAGAGACCTAGAATGAATGGCTTAAGAACGTTTGCAATGACGCAAGTGCACCCATTCATTCTGTTCTCTCAAATTCAAACCTAAACTTATGACGATCTTTCTCGTATCAAATCTATTTCACTCAATCATACTTATTGAATAGTAGATCCAATCCCAAATCACTCCGAATACTGCTAATACTTCTGCTACCCTTATTACTACTACGGGATTTGAATAGACAATTGCATCTCTGTACTGATATGGTACCGCAACTTGAACACATTTATACGTACGTACGAAGTTCTACGTTGTGACTGAAGGAAAGACAGTGAGAAAAGAATAAACAAAAGTGAAAGCAAAATAAAGTGGTACACTATTCAAAATGCAGATAAGCCAGAGTACTTGGCAGTGCTTCACAATTTCAATTGACAAGACTAAATTCCACTTTACCTAATTTTACAAAACATGTTGAAAGCTGAGTTTTAGGTATGAGGATTCTAATTTTCTACTTTATGCATTTAGTCCACAGAACCTTAAAGCCATAATTAGGTGTTTCAATATTGATGACGGGAAATATTTAGCATTCCCCTAGGCTTAAAGATTACCAGGGTCAATTCAAGGTTGTAACAAATCGTTTCTGTACACATAAGGGATGTTTCAATTTACGAATAGCCAAGGCTTCCATAAACCTAGAAATTCGTCCTTCAACATTTCTATACAATGTTTCGAAGGCTGTCTTGATGTCAATTTTATGCCATGTCTCCATTATGTGTTTTGCGATCGATGAACATGGTTCCCTATGTCCCATGTTTATCGGCTCATCTGACGTTAACTGATTTTAAAGCCACTGATTTAAGCCACATATTCCATAACCCTTGATTGCAAAGTCTGATTACTCCCCCCTGTGTATGTGTGTCCATGCAAACATGTGAATTGATAAATGCAGTGGGATGTGATGTAATCATTCGAGGAACGTTTAGGTCTATGTGGAATCATGGGCTTAGTCTTTTCAATTATAATCAGTTTAGCAGCGTAGTATGTTTTCTCTATGGCTGCTTCCAGTCGCTGTCTTAAGATTAGACCATTTGATTCATCTCTAAGTGGTAAAGTGACACAAACCTTTCTCTTAGCAGAATGAAAAACAGGCTTTTGTCTGATGGGCTCATTGCACAACTCTTCAGCATATGCTATATAAACATCGGCTGAGAGAAGTCCCAAAGGACTATCCATAGCAACGCCATCAACTTGCTGCAAATGTTCATCGTCAAACGTGAAATGAACTTTCTCAGTACATAATAAAATTAATTCTCTTAGTAGAGTTGACCGAATGGGAAAAAGAGGGGAATTACTTAATATATAGTCACAAAGAGTGTTAACAGTTTTCATTAGGGGTACATTGGTAAAAAGGGAGTTTACATCAAAAGAATGCATAGTCTTTCCTTTAATATTAATGTCATCAAGAACACCAATTAATTCAAATGTATCTTTCAGGGAAAACTTACACAATTTATTACCAATTGGGCAAAGTAATTTAGCTAACCATTTGGCTAGCTTATGTGTAGGTGAGCCGCACATAGATAATATTGGTCTTAGTGGATTGTTCGGTTTATGAATTTTGGGTAATCCATATAAGTTCGGTAGTACAGAACCGGTGGGTTTTAGCAAAATAAATTCATCCTTATTGATACCATTCATGTTGAGTAGCTTCATTAGATTGGAGTTAACTCTCGATTCTAATTTTCTAACCTCATTATTAGATGAAACATTAGTCAAAAACTTCCTTTCATCACTGAGGATGGAAAACATTATTTTCTTCTTGTAATCACATTTATTCATTACAACTACTCCAGAACCTTTGTCAGGTTTGAGAATCACAAAATCTGATCTTTTACGGAGGTCCCTTAAGGCACAGAAATGTTTGGATGTTAAAATATTCATGTGTTTTATTTTGGAACCGCGTTAATGGTTACCGATAACAAGTAATTTCGCCTTCAACCAGCTATGATTGTCTTTAGTGGTTGGAACAAATGAGCTTAGTTGTGTGAAGCGATTTTCAAACAGCGTCAATAAGACATAAATATTTTAGCTTCCAAACCTCCGTAAACGATCAAATTTTGTGATCCTCAAACCTGACAAAGGATCTGGAGTAGTTGTAATGAATAAATGTGATTACAAGAAGAAAATAATGTTATCCATCCTCAGTGATGAAAGGAAGTTTTTGACTAATGTTTTATCTAATAATGAGGTTAGAAAATTAGAATCGAGAGTTAACTCCAATCTAATGAAGCTACTCAACATGAATGGTATCAATAAGGATGAATTTATTTTGCTAAAACCCACCGGTTCTGTACTACCGAACTTATATGGATTACCCAAAATTCATAAACCGAACAATCCACTAAGACCAATATTATCTATGTGTGGCTCACCTACACATAAGCTAGCCAAATGGTTAGCTAAATTACTTTGCCCAATCCCTAATAAATTGTGTAAGTTTTCCCTGAAAGATACATTTGAACTAATTGATGTTCTTGATGACATTAATATTAAAGGAAAGACTATGCATTCTTTTGATGTAAACTCCCTTTTTACCAATGTACCCCTAATGAAAACTGTTAACACTCTTTGTGACTATATATTAAGTAATTCCCCTCTTTTTCCCATTCGGTCAACTCTACTAAGAGAATTAATTTTATTATGTACTGAGAAAGTTCATTTCACGTTTGACGATGAACATTTCCAGCAAGTTGATGGCGTCGCTATGGATAGTCCTTTAGGACTTCTCTCAGCCGATGTTTATATAGCATATGCTGAAAATTTGTGGAATGCGCCCATCAGACAAAAGCCTGTTTTTCATTCTGCTAAGAGAAAGGTTTGTGTCACTTTACCACATAGAGATGAATCAAATGGTCTAATCTTAAGACAGCGACTGAAAGCAGCCATAGAGAAAACATACTACGCTGCTAAACTGATTATAATTGAAAAGACTAAGCCCATGATTCCACATAGACCTAAACGTTCCTCGAATGATTACATCACATCCCACTGCATTTATCAATTCACATGTTTGCATGGACACACATACACAGGGGGGAGTAATCAGACTTTGCAATCAAGGGTTATGGAATATGTGGCTTAAATCAGTGGCTTTAAAATCAGTTAACGTCAGATGAGCCGATAAACATGGGACATAGGGAACCATGTTCATCGATCGCAAAACACATAATGGAGACATGGCATAAAATTGACATCAAGACAGCCTTCGAAACATTGTATAGAAATGTTGAAGGACGAATTTCTAGGTTTATGGAAGCCTTGGCTATTCGTAAATTGAAACATCCCTTATGTGTACAGAAACGATTTGTTACAACCTTGAATTTACCCTGGTAATCTTTAAGCCGAGGAATGTGACAATTTCCTGCGCTTTCTTATTTTATTCAATTACGTCTTCTCACTGTTCTTTTAAAACAAATTAAAGAGGCTTATTGTTTTAATATTTAGCTGCGTTTCGTAACAAGAACATCAGTTTCTACATTAGGACATTCACGATCAAAATGACTCACCACCTACCCAAAATCTTCACATAATCTTTCTCAGGGTGCATGCACAGTGCAAGATTGCTGATAAGAGTCCAAGGAGTTGTTGTCCATGCTATCATTGAAGTTTCAGGATCATTATCTAGTGGGAAGCTAACAATAACTTTTAAAGTAGTAGGGGAGAAACGATGAGTTACTTGCAGGATCTTGAACATCTTTGTAGTTCTGTCCTGCTTCAAAGTTAGAAAGAGGGGTTGAACATGCAGTCGAAAACGGCATTACTTTGAGACCACGATACACCAAACCTTTATCATACAGCTGTTTGAAAACCCACCAGACAGACTCCATAAACCACGGATACATAGTTCTGTAGTCATTTTCAAAATCAATCCACCGACCAAGACGACTTGTTACTCTCTGAACATAAGCTTTAAATTTACAAACTTACTTCCCACTGAGAACTGTAACGCATGACAATAGCTCGACACTTATCATTATAGCAGGCTACTCCCATTTCCTCTACATCATGAGGACCCGTAATTCCAAGCTCTTTGTCAACTTCATATTCCTTTTAAATGAGTTCGAAAGAATTAACTAACCACAGGTAGTCCATGACAGTCCCATCCAAACCTTCGTTCAACATGATGCCCTCTCTGATGAGCGTAACGTGTCACTATATCTTTTATTGTTCCAGCTAGTAAATGACCATAGTGTGGCAGACCGGTGGCGAAGGGTGGACCATCATAAAAGGTGAACCTTAAATGAGGAAGAAAATACTTATTTGTAGAGATACTGAGATAATACAACAAACAGAATAAAATACTTTGTCATTATACTGTAATGATAAATCACATCAAATTACCGTCGTTTCCCAGAGGAGTGTTTTAAAGATGTTTTGAATGCGTCACGGCTCTTCCAAAAGTCGAGAATCTTTGTTTCTTCTCCCGGTATGTCTACCAAGGCTGGCATTTGGGACTTGAAGTCGAAGCACTTGACATCGCTTCGTTGCGCCATGCTTACTTGGGGTAACACACTGGTTGAAGGTGGTGGATATTAGTGTCTAGCATTCAATAAATTTATCAGACAAGGTCAGTCTATTCAAGGTAAAAATAAAGAGATTTGTTGTCAACCAGAATAATTCAATACCGCTTCAGAAAGAAGGAGTAAGATATAAAAAGCAGCTCCGAATTCGACATAGTTTAAACGTTTATAGAGCAAAAAATGTGGGTTCATGTGTACATACGAATATGTGTAACCAAGAGCTTCATTAAGAAGCTTTAAAAATTCATGCAGTCCATTCTCCATGCATATTTTCGAGGAAAGGCTGCTCCATATTAGTATTTACTTGGTGAGGAAAAAATTTTCCCCAGTTTTATTTATGTTTCCCAAGTTTGGTCGTGGGTATATTTGTCACGAAGATTGTGTACACAAAGGCCTTGGACAAAGAATACAATACAAGAGGAGTATGTGAGTTAATGTAGGAGCTTCCTCTAGAGTGCTTCAAGTCACATGGTACGGCATCGAGAGGCAAAGTCATTTAGTTTGGAAGAAGAATGAGCATTATTCAACAAAGGGCCTTACACAAGTCTCGTAAGGAACAGTTCTGGATTCTTTATGAAGGAAGTTACGAAAAATGAAACCTAGCACTTTTCTGATTTGAGGTGCTTTGGCGGAAATATGTTAAGAAACGTTTATGATGAGTGAGTAATACATCCCTAGGGCCAGCTATTCGTTGTAGTTTAGGCAAAAAGTTCTCGCAGAGTGAGGAATTTATTTTGGCACACTTGTTCTGAAAACATGGATAGCCACATTCCTCAGTATTGGTTTCTAAGTTCCAACGATTGCACAAGTTTCTGACACTACTAAATTTATACTAGATCGTTTTTGTCAAGTTTCTCACGTCAAATCCGTTAGACCCATAGATCAATTTCAGGTCATCAGCGTGGAGATAAGTTTTGCCTGTGTTGAGTCTGTAGTGGTATACTTTTACGAATAAAACACAATTGCTGAAGTATGAACATTTATTATTGTACTTAATTCTGAAAACAATCGTTATGTTGTATTCCTTTTGTTTATCTGTTCTAAAGGCTATCTCCCGCGCGCCAAACGTGTTATTCCCATTCTGTTTCTCCGCGCTCCTCCTACTTGGTCGTTAGTCGCTTTTGTAACCTCTAGCCTCGATATTGTTTCGATATCAGGAGGCTATCAACAAACATTCTTCTTCATCTAGAATCGTCTTTCATTTGACTTCTAGATTATCGGGACTGACATTTGTTATCCCACGAAATTGTATGTTTAACACGTACTGCTATAAATCAGTTGCACGTACTGTTGATGTAAAGTCCGAAAAGCAGTGGACATAAGACACCGCCGTGCACAAGACCCCTGGTGATTAATCAAGGTGTAGATGTTGAGGGGTTAATTTCAGTAGTTTGGTATCTATCAGTAAAGCTTTTGATCTCGTTTGCTGGTATCTTCAATAAAAAAGACATGTAATGTAAGACCTATTTCTAATAAAGTCATGCTGAAATGGGTGGATAAGACCTTCATTAAGTAATTAATCATATTATTGATGGTTTTTACGTTCTCCATCACTCTTCATATAATGGGGTGATAATAATTGGTCTTTAACTTTAGACTAGGTTTATCGGCCTTGATTTGTGTTTAGGAACAACATAGGCAGCTTTCCAAGTTTCGAGGTATGTACCGTCCTCCAAGGGTAATTTGAATATTTCGAGTATATTTGGTCCTGCCATTTTAAAGAGTATAGATAGTATTTCCTCCACACCAGAAATCGTATTGGGTATAAGTGTGTTAATGATGGCTTGAATATTGGTAAGGTCAGTGTTAATGGCAGTGAGATTATTATCACTACTGAAGTGATATTTGAGGTATAAGATACGTTCCAGATGAGGGATAACCAGGTATTAATAAGTTCACAAATAACAGTTGGGCTATAATATGTCTCTCAATCATGAGCAGAGAATGAGTAATCTTCGTTCTTTTTCCTGCGTTTTTCAAGCAGATGATATAGAGTTTGGGATTCAAATGCAGCAGCTAGTGCGTTGCGTTCCTCTACTTGTTTTAGCCTTTAATGCTAATTTTTTGTGCCCTCATTTGCCGAATACACTTGGTTCTGTGTACTGAAGTCTTTGAATACGCAATATGTGTTTTCTAGTTTACGTAGCTTAGTCACGGTTTTTTGTTGATATAAGGAGTTATTGTTTTGAAAACCGTGCAGCACTTCACATATATTTGAGTTTGTTCAAGTTTGATCGGTTGAGCCCTTTCATTAACTTATTTAATAGATAGAGTCATTCGTATATTAATAACTTGTTTGTACCATTGTGCTTTTATTATTGTCGCGTTTGTTTGATCAGTTATGACCGAGCATTGCTTACCACCTACACACATATTCATTCTACTCGCTTTAATTTTCGCCTCTTTAATAATCTAGTGACTCATTTACTTTTTTGTGTTCTTATATGTACTCGCTGAATCGCTCGCTCGCTTGTTCTTCAGCACTCGCATATCATTTTCACCTCATGTGCTTGTGGTTTTATGGTCTATGTGTGGTGCGGCAATAAGCGCATTAAACGCTTGATTTATACACTCTTGGGTGTTATCTGGCAACATTTATGAGAACGAGCAGTAGACGAAGTTTAGAAATATATCGAATACCAGCCAACACAGAATTTGTGAGTACACATCCAGCACGACCGCTTTGGTGGGAATACTAGTTTTCATTGCGCATCTAATGGTGACATTGGATATGTTTAGAGTACCAGAGAGTTGATATCGATCCGAAGTCAGAAGCTTTCTTGCTTTATTACATAATCCGTCATACAATATACCTAATTAGATTCCTTTGCATGCATCTTATGAATCATGGCAACGTATTCATGGACCATGGACCTTTTGTAAACTCATATTGTGCTTCAGTTATTATTGATTAATATTCCAGATGCACAGAAGAAGTACTAACAAGGAGTCACACCGCGAACTCTATTGAAACACTAATGAGGAAGATTTTTATTCGTTAAGAGGTACTCTATGCATTGGTGACTGATATTGGAACTTACTCCACAGAAAACGAATTCAACAAATGCCCCAGTAATATTGGATGCCGTCATATGTTTACCGCTCCATGACACTCTCAGTCTAATGGTTTAACAAGAAATTACGTTCAAAGTTTAAAAATCACTGTCGCATCAGTAAATCCAGGTTATCTAAAAGAGCTAAATAAATGTAACGACAAATTCCTGCTTCGATTTGTTGATGCAAAATATTCAAGAACTCATGACATTTCAACTTCACTTTCTGAATCTCCCCTACCTCAAATTCATTTAGTGAACAAAACACTATTTTACTTTTTTACCAAGGAAATGATTACTAACTATCTACGAGACTTATGTTACAGATGGCAAAGGTTCGTGGTTTAGATGACCATTCAGTTCACAGGGATCACGTGAACCAGTTGAAGGTTAATAAATAGGTTGATTCTGACTCTAATTTTGACCATCATGTGAAAAATCCTAATTGGCTCAATTATCCAGAACTTCACATTTTCCCATTATTAATTTGAATTATTTCATTGTTAATAATTACGCTTTAGATTATTCTTAATTTCAAAAACATGAAGAAAATGTAAACAGAAGTACTGAACATAATTGCATAATTGCAGAAAAAGTACGATTACATTATAAACCCCTGGATTGTTACGGGAGAAATGAAGACATTTTGCTGATCAAACCTTTATATATAAATATCATTAATTTCACTGTGTTTTTTGGGTATATTTGTTTTACTTAACTTATGAACTTATTTGAATTATTATTTTCCGCCATTTTGGACTCCCGTTTCTCTTGGTTGTTCGTTTGCAGTTTTTTGCTCCAAGAACCCATAAAACAGAAGGTAATTGTAATTATTATAATTATTGTTGTTAGAACGACATTGGTCGTCTATTTGTAATAACATATTTTAGTCGATTTTGTGATTTGGAATAAACTTTGGTATCTACTTTGGAGTTTCGTTCTTATTTAATATTTGGGATCGTGAATTGCAAATATATCGACAACCGTGCTTCAAAGCATCAAAAAGCAAAAAACTGGACGTCACACCCACTCCTCTTCCTGATATTTATTAACGACCTGCTAGGCTTAGTTAGCTTACCGGCACTGATCTACGCAGACGATACGAAGATCTGAAGGTCCATTAGAAGCGAAGAGGATTTGACTGAGCTTCAAAAAGACCTTACATCTATTGAGAAATGGGCAGAGAAAAACGGTTTAAAACTCAACCAACCGAAGTGCCACGTCATGCATTTCCTGCCTCATATAACGCAAACGACCTACACTCTCAATAAAAGTCCACTCCCTAATGTCTCCTCGCGATCTTGGTTTAATAACCACAGAAAG